GATGGAGGCGCAGCTGGTCAACCTGCCGCTCGGTAATGGCCACCGAGGCGTAGACGTACGGCAAGAGGAGTTCGCGGATCGAAGGCGGTAGACTTGGATGGGCGACCAGGTCCACGAAGGCCGCCGTGTAGTCAAACTGCCACGCTACCCACGGCGCCCAGCTCGCGTACTCCTGGAAGTAACCGGAGTTGGGTCCCAAGGCCGCGGCGACGGTCTGTCCTTGGCCGGTCTCCCGTACGTCGAACCAGGCCGGGAAAGCCATAAAGTCCGGCCTGGCGACTCGGTTGTTGACTGAGCGGGGGAGTAAGCGGGGGTCGGAAACCCACGTGACCTCGATAGGACGGTCAGGGAGGCGCTGGTTGAAGCGAAGCGCCTGTGCCCGCAGCCACTGTTCGGCAGGGCTGGGGCTCATACAGAAAGGACTCGGCGCAAAGGCCGGCAGGTCGAACCACTCTGTGGTTCCGGGTTGTGCCAAAGTGTTGGCGCGAAGCGAAACAAGATAAAGGGGGGCGCCACAGGTCGCGCCTAAAATAGCCGCTCCCACTTGCCGCCAAACTCCCCGCCAAACCCAAGGGCCAGCTTGACCGGTCCCCTTGGCTGCGCCCAAGGTACAAGGATCAACCCCACCGCCCTTGGATGCGTCGGGCAGTACTGACCCCGAGTACAGGGGTGACAGAAACCGGCTGATGGATGGCCCAAACTGTCCCAAAGGGCGGAACGGCCCGACCTGGCCGTCGCGCGCCCACCCAATCGTCGTCCTAGGCAGAAACTCATTAACAGGATAGTTAATTCTATTAACACCACACCCACCTACCCGTAGCGTCAATCCTTACGTCGAAGCCAGGATGACTCCGTGACATTACATTATGGTGTGGGGCAAATTTATTGTGTTTAGAAGAAAGAACAACAACCAAAACTGCAGCAATGTTAATGGTCTGAAAATTGAGATGCAAAAGCCATGGCAGATGATTGGGGGCAGTTTTGAATGGTGCCGACTGAGATTTAATGGGGCTTTTTGTAAAGACTAAAGCGCCAAAGGGCAGTTTGGAGACAAGTCAAAAGTTCTGGCCATTTTCAGCAGCGTTTTGGGTATCTTCCAAGCTTGTGTCGATTTTGTTGCAATTACATAACCTCTTAGCGCCACAGGTCCCCCCCCAGCGTCAAATTGACGCTAAGCATAACAATTTCGACATAGTGTCTTCCCTAACGTACCCGGGGATATGGATGGGGAGTTCCCTCCCGCTTTCTTGTTCAGCCCGCCCGTGTGTCCCAGGTCCACGCCCCAATGCGGCCGCCAAACTTGAATTGCACCATGCGCCGATTGTGCCCGCATACAAATGGCCTCATCTGCCCCCCGCGCTGCGGACCAGGGCCACAGCATACCCCACCACGGCTGAACCACGACGAGGCCCTTGCTGGAAGCACTTCAAGAAACAAGAATTGAGCACGATTTCGGAGCGGTGTGTGGATTTCGCGCCGTGGGGAAGATTGTGGATGTGTGGCCGGGCGAAAGCCGCCAGCAGATGGCCAGTCCACAGCCACGACCACGCGCTCGCGGCTGCCCCCCGGACCCAGAGCTTCCCGTCGTTGATTGGCCAACGAGAATATCGTCCTCAACACGCATTCGCGCGTCAGCCAATCTCCGACACCGGAGATTGGCGCCTGACACCCCTTTGTCACTTTCGCCATCGCCTGAGTCCCCGTTTGGTCGCCACACGTCGCAATGCAGCCTCCCTTCTGGGGCGGGGCGCACCCCTCCTCCGTCGATGCCCGCCCCAGGCTTTCATTCAACCAATGACTCAATCAATCAACCCACATCGACCCATTGACGCCGTACGGCTTGGCGCCTCCCGTACGGCCAATTTCTTTTTTTCTCCCTGCAGGTACATTACGGTACGCGCGCATCGTCGTGCCGGACGCGGGCCCACGACGCCATTGATTTGATGGAGCCCTCTGCCATTCCCGACTTTCGAGCCTTGTGCTTCCGCCCACGCTCCGTGCAGCGCCTGGAGGGGGACCGGCCGGGCCGCGGGGAGGCACTCCGCCCCACGGCCTTCTCGGCAGCGGGCGGTGCGCTGGGTTTCAGGCGGTGGCGTCCCGCATCGGATGAGATTTGGGGGTCCAAAGAGCGGCCGCAGCCCCAAGCGGGATGTCTCTGGGGCGCGGGGGCCGGCGTCGCTGACGCCTGCCGCCTCCTCGCTGACGAACACTTCGGAAACGATGTCAACGAACAGCAGGTGGGGTACCCGGGGGGAGATCCAAAAAGGCTTCCCGAACAGCGTCGCGAACAGGCAGCCGTATTGAACAATTGAGCGCGATGCCTGAGCACACGCGGGGTTCTCGTGCTCGTATCACCGGCACGGGTTGCAGAGGCGCGCGTCGACGCAGGGCGATTCCGAAGAAGGGGAACCGCCCTCCGGAGCGCGCCTGAGATTTCCAAACGCGGGGTGGGGCGGTGCCGATGCACGCTGCGTGCCTCGCATCCACTGCCCCAGGGCTGCATCTGTGGACGCGTCGCGCCGGCCCCGAGTCGGCCGAGCCGCGCCTCGCGCCTCACGCGCCGCGTTCTGGAGGCTCCGAGGGTAGGGGCCGATCGGCGCTGCGGATCTGTTGCCCGCACTGGGGCGACGGTGTGGGATCCGCTGCCTTGAGGTACGAAGCGTACCGCCGCACGGGGTCGTCGGCTTTGGCCTCCTTCGTCGCGGCAATACCGGGTTCCGACGTCGCGAATTGTCGGACGCGAGAGGGCCTGCAAGATTTGTAAAGGCGCTTGATGCCGGGCCCGTAGGTGTTCGCCGCACGTGAAGGAGGTTAAACTGCAGAACCGTCGCGGCGATGCCATGCTGCAGTGTCGCAGATTGCCAAACGCGGGAGGTCGTGGAAGTTTTTCCGGGTGGGATTGGTGCCAGGTCCTTGGATGTTCGCCGCGCGTGGAGAAGACCGAACGGCAGAGCTGTCGAGCCAAGTTGGGCGCGGGGAACTGCGCACTCGCGCGAGCGAGAATCGGAGGCATTGCGCCGGTGTTGTGTGACGCCGCGTGGGGTGGGAGGGCGCGTTGATTGGATGGGTTCCGTCAGGAACAGGGCTGGCAACGCGGTGGGGATAGGGGCGTTGCTCGGCAGGCCCGGTTCTGTGCACCCCCCGTGGACCCCAGGCAAGGGCGCTTCCTCACGTGTGTAGTTGTTGTGGTTGTCGACAATCAACTTGACCTATCGGCGCTGGCACATGCTGCTGTGTCTGCGCCCCGTGCAGGTAGATCCCCAAAAGGGTCCGCACGGTAGAAACCCACACCTGAATGGGCTAGCACTCTCCGCCTGAAGATGGCGGTGTTGGTGGTGGGCCAACCCTCCTGAGCAACAGCCTGTTTTGGGAAGCGTAGATGATGCGAAGGTCGCAACATGAATAGCACGCAACACAGCGATCACAGTGTGTGTGAGGATTGGCTGTGTGCTTGTGTTTTAGACCTCTTGGGAAGGGAAGTAGGAAAGCACTGCGGGAAGCTCTGTTGTCATGGCTGCAGAAATTGGCAGGCAAGAGAGGCAGGAAGGTGGCTTCTTCTTCTTCTTCGGGGGAGTTGACGATCCACAACATACAGCAATTGACGGTGTCGCCAGTGCGCGAGCCTTCCTTGGGAAATCAGCGGCGCACAAGCACGAGGTCCAACAGTGGATCGATCTGCTCCTTACGGGGATCGATCCACTCCAAGACATCTTCAGTGTCCAAGCCTTCTACGTGAGTGTTCCCTTCTCTACGAGTGGAATCTGGGATCTGTTTAAAGTGCTGGTTTTCAGGTGTGATTTGCTCAGTCTTATCGCAGCCAGTTGTGTTGTTGCATTGCTGAACCAAGGATCCTATCGCGGTGTGAATTGTTGGCATTTCGCAGGAAGGGATCGGTACTGATCGCATCAGCACGCAAACCGCGCCCCGGCCTGCTAGGTGAGGCGGATATGAAACTCACCCTGCATGTTCCAACGATGTGAAATTTTGTGTTGTCCTTACACTGGCAGTGACTACTACGCTGCTTGCCGGAACAGCCGCCGATCTGCGATCGACCTCACAGCCAGCCATTCATGTCGCAACGAGGCGTCGCTGAAGGAGATGCAGAGCACCACAAGCTTTCTTGCAGTCTACTCATTCTTCACAACTGCCCACAGGGGAAGGTGAGCGCCTGTCTTGCTGATGTGTCAAGCAGATATAGATAGCAAGTTCCCACTTTCAGATGATCAGAATGCTGGGAAACAGGAACTGCAAGCCTGCCCATGTGAGCACTGCGTGATATTGCCCGAAGTTTCAAGGGCATTGCTGTGTCGCATAATGGCAGATGTCAGCAAAGCAGATTTTCAGATCTTTCCAGTTTCCTTGCTGGTTGAAATTGCTTTCTGACAATTGTGGTTGTCTGGGTGACAGCCATGCCAATATCATCAAGGCACGGCATCGACACACACATGAGCGGGTGGCAGTGAAGGTGTACAACAAGGAGCAGATACCGGGGATCTTGTGGGAGAACATCACAAGGGAAATAAGGATCCTCACAATGGCAGAGGGGTACGCTCACTCACATTACTCTTTGTGGGCCAAGTGGTGCATGATACTTTATGACGAGAAGTTTGCTGCTGCCATCTGCAGTGCTTGGGGCTGCTGAGCGGCAACATGCGCTGTGAAATGCTGCTGAAAAAAATGCTGCTGTGGAATGCATCCTGATGTCGCCATGTGTATGCAAGTGCAATGTCAGTTTGTTGAGACACATGTAGCTGGAAAGAATTTTGGATATGGTGACATGGCGTTGTTCCAAACATTCTGCATCCTGGAATGATGAGGTCAACGTTCAATACAGTGCCTCTCCTTACACATCAGGTGCATTCTCCTGTTTTAACTCTCCATGGCTGGCAAGGCACTGAAAACTGGCACAACTGTGCATCTGTTCCATTTGCAGATTCATAGCCATCTATTGCTACCTGCTGTGCTGCCACAACATTATCTCTGGACCAAGCTATGTGTGCATGTTATGACTGGAACACCTTGCCTTGTGAGTGGATCGTTTTGATGCGATTCAGAACAGAATGCGGGTGGCTGCGTGCAGGGCTGAAGGCATTGTTCAGCTGAGAAACTCTTATGAAGATGAAAACCAGGCAATTGCAGTTCTTGAAGACTGCACCGGTGGCACCCTGATCAGCCGCATGGCCAGCAAGGGAGGACAGCTCAGTGAACAGATGTGTGCACAAACAGTGGTGAAGCCACTCCTGGAAACGCTGGCCTGGCTGCATTCACAGGGAATTGTCTTGAGGTGATTGATGCTCACAGAAGGTTTCGACATTTGGAAGACGCATATGGCATTTGAGTTCATTTGGATCGCTTTTACCTTTTCTCAGCTTTGTGTGGTGTGTTCCGCCCAAAGTGGTTTTGGATCAACAAATTCACCAGGCTCAGGACTCAATCATGCAGCAATTTCTGACCACACAGGTGGCAAGAGGATGAGCTAAACCGATGCAGGACACGATAAATGTTCTTGTATGTTTATGTGCCTGTCATTGCCTACAAGGTGCAAGGGGACTGCTTTTTCGTCTCCAAGGCAATTTGAAGAATGAAGGCTTTCCCTTTTGTTAGGTTGAACAGTGTGCTTGCACCTGGAAGGAGATGATGGTCAGTCTGTTGCTTACCCTGCTGATTAGGTTTGCTCCCCATTTGTTAGGCTTTCCACTCATGTGCATCGCTTGTGTATGTGGTGGCTTCCTTCTGGCTGTACTGCCACATGGCTGGCAGCTGTGCCACCTTTTGTGGCAAGGGGAATACAATCACAGGATCCAGTGCAGTGAGAAGGAGACGGTAGTGTTTCTCAGTCTTGCCCACTTGACCTTGCAGAGCAGGAGCGACTGGATGCCACGTTAGGATGGTGTTGACATTGTTAGCAATGGAGTGTTCATTCCCTCGCGCATGATGCTTTTGGACAGCATTTGTGCCATTGTGACAGTTTTTTGTGGAGTGCTCAAATGTTGGTCGACGATTGTGCTTGACATGGGCAGCTGTGGGTGGCAGGGATCTGAAACCGGAGCATGTCATGTTTGATGGCAATGGCAGCCTTCGGCTCGTTGATTTCTTCTCAGCTGCCATTGTTGGAGAGGACTCGTTGATCAGCAGGGAGGGCACCCTGGCGTATATGGCGCCAGAGATGGTGCACAAGCCCACACCAGAAGAAGTGTTCAACGAGGTAGGCGCACAAGCCTTGGAAGCTTCATCAGCTCCATTGCGGTGGTGGGCCTGTGGAAACTTGCCCAGCCATGGAAGGCCTTTGGCATCGTCCTGCAAGTGCTGCTGTCCACAAGTCGGCACACCACTGTCAAGTCGTGTCCACTATTTGTGGTTGACATGTTGTGTTAACAAAGCTCATGAAGAAGCCTTTGTGCGGGGGGTTCCTGTGTTGCTCCCAATTCACCATGCTTGTATGAATTGCTGCCCGTGTGGTGGCGATCGATTTGCAAAGTGGCTGGAGCTGCCAGATCAGAACTGGCATTTTCTCAGCATTCAGGGCCGGATTCTATCACGCACTTGCTTGCCCCTTTTAGGCATATCATCAGTGTCAGGCACTTTGCGTACGCGAGTTTGGAACTGCAAGTCCATGGCAGGTAGAGTGCCCCTTGCTCAATTGCAATCTATGCGAATATGGCCTCGAGCAGACTTGCTGCGGTACCCCACCAATGTTGGGTACACCACCCATGTTGGGTGACCCGACATGTCCAGGGAACCCGCCCTCACCTCGAAAGCGCAAGATGGCTGCCCTGCAGAATCAAATGAAGGCACAAAGGACAAGGGATGTGTTGTGACAGTGACAACACATTGAGGGAGATGTCCCATTGCCACTGTCCCCAGGTTATTGGCCATGGCCTTTCAGAAGCTGACTTTCCTGCATACACCCAAAAAGTGGACATCTGGAGCCTGGGGGTCATCATTTTCGAGGCCCTGACTGGGCGTCAGCCATTTCTGGCTGAGACTGCTGAGGACCTAAGAGACGTGCAGGACAAGACCCTTGCTTCACACGGTGGCCTCAGGACCTCCCTTGACAGCATCAAGATGAGGGAGCACATGTCGCCATCCGCGTTGGATTTCCTGACCAGCATAATGCGGATCGATCCAGACGAACGGCCTTCCGCGAAAGAGCTGCTGGACCATGCATGGTTGGTGTCTGCCTGCAGGGCTTCTCTTCTCAGCGCAAGGACCCATGAGAGCACTGACAGTTTTGTGAGTGCAGTGTCACCGCCCAAGGCAACGCACACAAGGTAGTGCAGCCCTGGCGGGGACGTGTTCTCGTGAGGTGGAAAGTTTTGATCTTCGCCAGGATTTTGGCTGTCCCCGCTTTACTTTTCTTATATGTGTCGCTGAGCTTCTGGTAGCCATGGAACACGAACAGGGGCAGGTGGGAAGAGAGGGACCAATGCATGCTGGTTCCATGGCTAGGCTGGATAGATGGCAAAACGTGCAGGGTTTTTTTTATCGAGAAGGTGCTTTGTACTGGGGAGCCAGCTAAAGAGGAGCAGATGTGCTGGTACTCGGAGATTTAGAAACGCGAATAAGAAGGATTTCGTAAATGTATGCCGATTGTTGTCACTATTCTTCATTTTTTCCTGCGGTCTTAGCGAAGATAGGGCAAGATCGTGGGCGGCAAGACGGTGTGTTTGTTTTATCGCACAGTGCGTTGCTGGGGGGAAGGCGAAAGGCATTGCGCCAGGTTATTGCATCAGCGGTTTGGCTTCCAGACGGCTGCTGCTGGCGATCGGCGATGCTGCACTATGGGAGCATGCTGCTGATGCGTCCTGGCTGTGCTTGCTCCAATGGCCGTCCCTTCAATTTGGGTTTGTGCATTGCGGCATTTTTCATGCAGACATGAGATTTGGGGATTGCCCTGGTGATCTTGGTTGCCCAGGGGCGGGTAGGGCAGCTGCTGGACGGAGGGCGACAGCTGATTGGATCCTCAGTGAATACATTCAACTAAATGTGAATGCCCAAACGCCTATTGTGCGATGTCGGGTCCAGACAGAGGGCCGAGGATGTGAGCAAGCATGTGCTGGTGGTAGCAGGACGGGGACCGCAAGACCAGTGCACACCATCGGTGAGATGCTGAGATGGTGAGGTTCCTTATTCGATCAAGGAATAACTGGCTTTGATGGCCAGTTGGAAGGTGTAGAACCCCCGTGGGTTGAGCACATTGCTTCATCCTTCAGAGGCTGTGGTGACTGCAGTTTTTGCTTTGCTGTGGCCGACAGTGTTCGATAGCGTGCATCCTGGGGTGGTGGGTGGTGTACCATGTGCGGGATTGGCGCAGAAGGGTGGGTGGGTGCCACTGGCACCGAATACTCGCCTCTGTACGGCCTGGCCTTTCCCAGTGAGTGGGCTTCTTTTTCTGAGAAATCCCGAGATTGGGTTGAACTCGAACAGAATTGTTTTCAGCGCTGGAGAAGTTGCTGCCGTGGTACATTTTTGATGGGTACCGACCTAGTTGGGACTTTTTTCGGTGGTGAACAACCGTGCGCCGCCTGTGGTCCATGCTGTTCACTAAAGCCACCGCAAGGGAGAAATTGTAAGCATTCGACTCAGGAGTAACATTTGCTCCCGTGCTTGTGACGTGCGCACGACATGCGTCCTTCCCATTGAGGCAAGACTGCTCTCAACGTTGCCAGCCGAGTTGGACATTTCGCCTTGTCCACCACTAGTTGCCTTGCGCCACACTCTGAAATGCGACGGCTGTGGACGCCGATCCTAGCACGGGATGGGATTCCTTTCCCCGCGAGGCGGCATGCTCCTGGGCCCTTTGGCGCTTGTCGTGTTGGTGACAACCTCATGCGAAGCGACCGATCCCGGAACTTGTCTTAAAACAACACGCCATCACCCTGCCTAAGGTATTGTACAAATCCCCGCGTTCTCACAGCACACCTCCCGCACTGACGATCGTACAAAGTACAGTGGCTACAGCCGCTATCCTGACGACTGCAGCCCCACCCCCTCAAAATCAGTGAGCGGCCGGCTGTCAGTGTGCGACGACAGACAGGCCGCTCCTGCCGCAGCCCATGGACGCACAGGGCACCCACTGGTTGGTCTCCGGAAGGTAGCATTCTACCGTCTCGTGTATTTGGTCGTCTCCTGCATTTCCCCCGACAGCATAAAGCTTGTCTTGAAACGCAGCCACCCCACAGCTGGAACGCGCCACGTGCATGGAGCCCAGCAACTGCCACCTGCCCTCCCTTGGGTCGTATGCTTCCATCGTTGGCAGGCGCACACGCTGCTCATTCATCCCCCCGACAGCGTACAGCCTTCCACCCAGCACGCCCACCTGAGCCACACACGGCACACTTTGCTCACGCACACGCTCTGGGGCTGTGGGCGTTCATGCGTTCGGCGAACACTCTTGTTCCCAACGCTGTTCCCACCAACATTTTAGATGCTAAGACTGCACCCTCATTCGTCGTGCATGTTATTTCTGGATTTTTCTTGCATGTTACAAACAGGTGCACCAAGCTGCTCACTTTGCGATAATAGAAATCCATCAGTTCAAGATCGGTGCTCCTTTTCTGGGCGTGTTCACGACTGGTTTCTTACCACACCAATGGAGACACATGCTCGCACATGCCGAAGGTCGTCAACCAGCAGTGCACATGCGTCACCGAACACGACAGGGATCCACCCGCGGTGTCAGATAAAGTTTCTGGCGAGAGCACTCACAGCTACATATTTCCTCATGCTGCCAAGCCTTGCTGACACCAAGCTCCACTGACCACGCTCTGGGTCCAAGCTCTCAGCAGAGTTGTGGACAGTCCGGCTGGCTTGCCCTCCAACGGCATACAGGTGACCCCCTATGGCTCCCGCCCCAAGCGCACAGCGAGGTTCCAGCATGTCCGGACCCTGGCACCACTTGCCGTCGGATTTGTCGCTGCTGCCAGAGCTGTCGAACCACTCAACGCCACAAAGCTCTTGGCCCACGCCGGTTCGACCTCCCAACACGTAAGCGAAGCCTGCCAAACAGATGGAGCTGTGGTGAATTCAACGCACTCGACCGCATTTACTGAGACGTGACGGCGCATCGCCTCTGAGCCTACGTAGCGGTGGCGGGCAGCACATTCAGTGGTCAACTTGGTAACGGGGTGCATGTGCATTGAATCCTGGTGCAACCCGTAACTGGGAAGCAGCCACCAACAGGCCAAGCAATCTCAGGAAGCGCTGCACAGAATCGGCAATGTTGTAAATGCACAGCTTGCATCCGCATTCACAATCGAGCCTGTGTTGTGCACCACGACAAACACCTGATCGTTCCATTGGCCGTAATCTCACTTTTGCAAGCCACCACCAAATGGATACAATAGGGGCCACAACGTGCCAGGGGCATGATGCAGGCCATGATGGGAATTCTGTGCGCAGGTGTTGTGCGACATCAAGACCTGAGTGCCTCCAGGCGGAGTGTGTCACCACTGTGCTGCACTGGTGGGGTCAGGGAAATGGAGCAGGCCTGGTAGGCCCACCAACAGCCATGCAGTGGGCATTTACCTGACATCGATGCCACAGCCGAGTGTACCCTTGGTGTCAGCAACGGTGGGCACCTGAACCACTGCCTTCTTTGATTGTCATACCGGCAAACATTGGCACTGTACATGGTACCACCAACGACAAGGACACCGTTGGGCACAGGAGCGGCCCCTGTGAAAGAGAAGCTCATCGTCATCGATTGCCCCGGGGACCATTCGTCCCTGTGTGGACTGTACTCTTCTACGATTTTCAAGCTCCGCCATTCAGCATCGTGGCCACCTGAGGACGAAACAAACCAAGGCGAGGATGAGCCTGAGACGCGCTCAAATGTGTGCGGAAGTGCCTGATAAGGAGCAATCCCTGCTGAGATCTTCACAATCATCTTCAGTGCAACACAAACTCTGCAGCATCATGGTGGGCTTGGTAGTATTGCCAGAAGAGAATAACTCACTATCTGAATAAGTTGTGAAGATCTCTCGGCCTATGGCCCACGGTTTCCATCTTGGTTCCCCATGATGCCTAAACATGGCTGCACTGCACAGGCCAGTTTTCATAATAGTCCTTTGACTGTGCAGGAGGAATGCAGGGAACTCAGATGTGACGCACTGTCCTTCAGAGCACAGCACAGAGGAGAATCGTAGCCACGTGCTTATTAGGCAGTGTCAGCAGGGATCGGATATTTCTTGCCAGTCGCCAAGATCTGTGGCATATGCTGCCAGGCTCAAACATGATCCTCCACAACAAGGAAAAGATTGCCATCAACCTGCAGCCCAGAAAGGGGAGCACAACAGGACATTTTCCTCTACGTTGCAAAAACATTCATCTGTGGTGACTGCCTGGCTTCTCCTGAGGGTTCAGTGTCCTTTGTTCTTCAACACTCTTGCCTTTACATTTGCATGAGGAGAAGGCGAGTAAAGCCTCAGCTGCTTTTGTCTTTCAAATCGTTTTCCCATTCGCAAAATATAGCAGTGCACTGTTCTGACACATGCAAGGCAGCAGAGCACATAATTCCATCCAGATTCGTTTATTCATCCTGGTTCAGAAATTCTGCATTGAGAGCCCACAGCTGAGCGCCACCCAACTAGTGTTGTGGTCCTTTTGACGGAATCGTAGTATCTTCAGTAGTAAGTGCGCCTTACACCCTAACTACAAGCTGCAGCTTCAAACTGGGAGTTCAGCAGTCGCCTCACCTGCCACCATCAGCCCCGTGGGTGACCGTCGCCTGGGCACAGCTGCCCAATCACTCGCTGACTCGTCAACGACCCCACACCATTTGTCATGGGTGCAGTCGCTCTGTTCGCTTGGCGAACTGCAGGACATCATACTGGCAGATACAACCGAGGATGACAGTCCGTGTAGATGGGCCTCATGCACGACCAGCTCCCTTGGCAACAGGGCAATACGCACAGAGGCCAAAATGTCTGGAAAATCGGCCTGGCGGCTGAACAGATCAGACTTGATCCAGGCAAGCCCAGCCTCAAGAACTTGGAGTTCCTGTTGTCCAAAACGAAACACATGAATGGGCGGCCAGCATATCACTACACCAGAGTGGGGGGACAGAATGCAAGTTCAACAATCCTTTGGGCAATTGTGATGCTGCAACAGTTGCTTGTGGAGGAACTTGCAAATTAGATGCACACCTGGGGAGTGCGCGAGTTTGTGAAATGCGGTTTAAATGTCAATCCAGCTCTCTTCAACAAGGAGTGCCAAGAAACAATTCGATGTTCGCAGTCCTGAAGAGCAGCAATTGATTCCAGCAAACACCCACCGAGTCAACAGAAATGTCATCACTGCGTAGCACCTCCAGGAGGAGACTCTTTGACAGCTGTCCAATGGACTGCTCCCAGTGTGGAAGTTGGAGTACGTCAGAGAACTTGCCGCAGACGTAGTGAAGCTGACCAAGAAAGGCACAGACAGCAAGCATCAAATCGCTGAACAAAATCTTCTTCTGCTCATTCAAGATCCATGCTGGTTAGCCAAGGGAACAAGGTCCAGGTGGTCAAAACACACATCCTCTTCAATCAATATGAAGAGAGCGCAGTGTGGCAATTGCCAGAAAGCTGTGGGGGATGCCCTGCAGCTCCCTTGGGTGGGCACTCACTGCTGAGAAGTTCCCAAACTCAACAAACACTTTGGGAGGTGCCCGTGTTGGGACATGATGTCCCTTTGTCAGCAAAGGATCAACAGGTGCTCACCACTTCTTGTTCCAGCTCGACGCAGTTGTATCTTTCAGCGAGCTGCAACACCTGAAGGCAGTTCTCTGGCTGCATACATCTCCGCAGGTACTGCACCAGCAAACATCCAAGGTAGTATTGCAGTTACGCATGCCTGGCAGCGGCCGAGCGTTGATAAGACTGTTAAGAATCAGGTCACATTCACCCCAATCATAGACTCATAAGACGCTGCAATCGCTCCTTTTCTTCCCCTTCTGGTCGCAATATTTTATGACGTGACAGTAAAGGGAGCAACATCTTGCACATGCGCTTTGCACCTAGGCAAAGGTAACTAACTGGTTGTGTGCCCAGACGCACATGAGTTCACAATGTGTGGTCTTGAAAACAAGGCAAGCACACAGTTGCTTGACAGTGGTTGGCATCGACCAGGTGTTCAAAGGGAGGGAGTCGTGAATTTGATGCTCAGCTTCGCAGCCCTGGATCTGCTGGCCATCAGGAAGTTCGTTCAAGACCAGTTGAATGCGTGGTGCAGGTCAACCTGGACTGCTTTCTAGGCCACCATGTAGCAATTCATGACTCCACATTCTGCACACCTGACAGCAGACTTCTTGCACAGGAAGTACCTCCAGCTGATTACTGCATGACAACAAAATCTCCAAGTTCTCAGGGGAAACCTGGCAGCCACACAACGAAGCTGTGTGAATGGTGATGAGCGCAGCAAACAGACACGTCAACAGGGGTGGATGTTCCTGTGCCGAAAGGATGGAGAAAACCAAGAGAGCCTGCGCGCGCCCCAGCAGACCCAGCACTGGGCCCAATAGCAAGCGAAAAGCCGGCAATCGCAGCGGAATGGCACAATTCAGGCCTTCACCTCCGAGGAAATGTGTATGTACATTCGACAAGAGCACAAAAGCTCCCACTGCTGCCGCTGCAGCTGCTCTTCGACCCGGTCCGCACCTCCAGCTTTCTTGCGTACACGGCGCCCAGGACCCGCTCCAGCCCCGCGCTGTCCACGCCCAACAGGTCCACCACGCTCTGCCCCGACGTCAGCCGCTGCTGGTGCTCCCGCATCGACTGCCCGGTGCCGGTGAAGAGCGCCCGGAAAAACGGCGAGCAGGAGGCCAGCACGATCTTGTGGGCGCCCACCAGGCCCCCGTCGCCCGTGCGCAGCACCACGTCGCACAGCTGCTGGCGTTGCCACAGGTCGTGCAGGCAGGAAACCTCTTCGAGCAGGTCGCACAGGTAGAACACATGGGCCTGCGCGTTCCACGTGCGTGCCGCAATTTCATCCAGCCAGCCCGAACGACCCGGAAAAAAAGCCGCAAAATGGTGCAGAAAAGGGCGCATAAAGGTGCAGGGGGAAGGGCGGGTAACGCCCTTGGAAAGCCCGCGCACAGCGCAGGGCCCCTTGATGCGCAACGGGGGGTGCCGAGATTTTGACAGCAGCGCAGCCATGCGGGCCGGCAGGGAGCGCACATCCCGGATCTCGAGCGAGGAATGCGAATTCGGCCGACGCACCGACGTGTCTTCGGAGGTTGGGTAGCACACTTGCTTCGCCCGCTTCAGCGACGACTTGGAGTCCCACTGCAGATTCAGCGACGAGGGCGAGCGCCGGTGGGGCGATTCCGCCATGTTTGCGGCCCCGGGCCGCGGCGCGCGGGCCCGGCTGAAGGCTCGGGACGGAGGCCGCTGGGAGCAGGGGAAGGCGGGGCGCCGCGCCCAGGAGGGCGCCGGTGCCGGTCGCTCGGTCCAGTAGGGGACGCCCGCTACGCAGCGACGATTTCTACTTGTGCTGCATTTAGGGTTTGGGGCTGGAGGGCTACTAGGTCGCTTGCTGGCTCTCCAGCTGGTGGTTCGCCGGCTGGTGGCGGTTTGGCATCGAGCGTTGGAGTTGTGTAGGCAGGACAAAAACGAGGACGCCCCTTTGTCGCCAGGCCATCCATCCAGTCCACGTGTCTTGGTGGTGTTGACGAAGGCAGGCAGGGTCGAGGGGTGGCGATCCCTGAACGGGAATTGCACGCTCGAGTCCACGGCAACGGTTTGCAGCCGAGGCAAAAGGACAACAAGCGTTCTGTCCTTTATGCTCCGTCCGTTCAGTGTTGCGGCTGGAACTGATTGAGTGTTATTAATAAATGAATGCATGAAAAGATGACGAAGCACTAAGAACTGCATTAAGGATGTTGATGAACGGACTGAATGTAAAGGACAGAACGCCTGTCGTCCTTTTGCCTCGGCTGTAAACCGTTGCCGTGGATTCGAGCGTGCAATTCCCGTTCAGGGATCGCCACCCCTCGATCCTGCCTGCCTTCGTCAATGGCGTTGTCGTAACTGGAACTGGTTGAAAATTACCAGCAGCTGGGCGCATAAGGAAGTGATGAGGCATTAGGAATTGCATTAAGGACGTTAATGTATGGACTGGATACAAGGGACAGAGCTCCTGTTGTCCCTTTGGTCGGCTGTAAACTGTTGCCGTGGACTCGAGCCTGCGGTCCCCGATCAGGGGTTGCCACCTCTTGACCCTGCCTGCCTTCGTCAGTGTCACGCCTGCGTCCCACTGACCCAGCGGGCGACCCAGCGCACATTTCTTGATTTTCTGTTCATTAATGCCTGTTGTTATCGCTGCAAACAACATTGCCGACGGAGCTAGCAAGAAATGACGGGATGACTGGTGCTCACACATCCAAAAATGTTTGACTGTTCCCTGTTGTTCCACGACTCTGAACTCCACCCGGCGAACGTTATGCAAATGGCAGCCAGAAAGAAGTGCTTAAACAAGAAAGACATGTCCAATTCCAAAGTGGGGTACCAAAAAGATCCCTACACGCTACCCAAAGGCGAATGACCAAGAATGCTGGTCTGTGTTTTCAGCGCATAGGTTTCTTGTCAAGGAAATGGATCGGGATGCGCCAATAAACTCCTCGCCTCACTGACTGTTCCTCCCTCTGGGGCCGTCCCCATCAAGCGAATGGGAGATTCACAACAAGGAAAGGCTGGTAGGAATGCTGATGCAATTGAACAGCCCAAGATGCAAAGCACTAGAATTGTGGGCGCACAGAGCAGCTGCAGGAATGTAGCAAGGTTTGCTGCATAACAGAATACATTCTGTAGCCGCTGTGACCAGCCTCAATACAGCATTAAATGAATGTGTGCACCTAGCTCAACACAGTGCTTGATAACAACCCATGACAAATCTGCATCAGCACAAAACACAAGCATTGATGCACAACATCATGGGCACAAGTGACGCATCCAGCAAAAGAGGCACATCTGCTAATCCACTGTTGATATGGCCTTCTACGCACTGCAGATGAGCCACTAATCTATATCATGCTGCAATTGGCACGGCTCGCATTCCGTCTCCTTCCTTTTCTTGGAGTTTGCTCTAGGTTACACCTGTCTAGTGTGTCGGCAAGCAAGATGCCTGGCTCATGAGAGGTACTCTCTGCAGTTACTGGCCTCCCAATGCACTTCTTTGCAGTCACCATATATTGCAACAATGTACATTTCAGGGGCCCTGTGCCCTGCCATGTAGGTCCATTCCTCTAGGTAGTTTTCGTCTTTATCAATCCTTGCCGTCGAGCAAACTCGAAAATCCCTCCTGCAGCAATAACTGGCCGAGCCTGGACACACAGTTGCATAATGTAAGAAATCAGGTCAACAAGGTTATCATTTCTCAGTGCTGCCTAAAGGCAGCAGAGCTGACTCAGGTACAGATATTGTAATGGAGATCCAGTGGCAGCCACAATGTTTGTGCAGTCAAACCTGCACTTCAAGCGGCTTCCTCCACCTCCTTGACATTCAGACTCGTTTCACACAGAAGCACGTCCTCAGAACCGACTTCATCCCTTTTCACAACTGACATCGGAATGCAACAACAGTGCCAAACGCCCAACATACCCAACAACCCTGCAGTAGGCACGAATCCATCTTAAGGTAAGCCATTTGCTTGAACCGCCTCCACCACACTGTGAAGGGGCAGTACTTGCTCCAGTCTGATTGATGGAGGGTAGTAATCTGTGCAACAGGGGTGCTTCAAATGATTGCACACAATGGCAGGTGTGACACACGCCTCACCTCTCCCAAGGGCTTCAGTGGATATGTCTCCCCAGACTCAACATTGCGTATGGTATTACCCTCTAGATCCAGCTCGACTTCGGTACCTACATCACACAGCAACAACAGCATGCAAAACAATCAACACGTCAATCGTTCAACGACTCGACTTTGAGGACATATGGACTAGGAAGCCACCTTGTCACCATGAACTCTGCATCAGACAGAAATCCATGTGTGGTTCAGCGGAAAGGTGGCATCATTGGCAGGAAAGATAACATGGATCAGGGTGCACAACATTTCAGAGAAATGGTACTGACTACCCTCTAACACTGCAAGAACCCTGTACACATGCCCACGTTTGCACACGCAACACATTTTTCACTGCTCCGAGAATGGCAAGCACACCTGTTTGAAAGACATCGCAGAGCCTTTCTTCCGATTCAATGGGGTACAACTCACCCCTGCAGTGCACACACATCAATCACCAGCCAGCTCAACTCCCCTTGTCTGGCTCGTACAGGAAATGAGCATGCAGCTTTCCCATGGTCCTTGGATTCCAATTGCAGAGTGTTATTTGCATGTTGAGTTCAATGTACTCAAATACAGAGAAAAGTAATATCGAATCGGTTTGAAATGCAATGGAAACATGTTGTAGGTACCCTCTCTTCAGCAATGGCTGTGATGTCAGGCTGTGTTCTATGCAACGAGAATGATGCAGAAGTGTCATAATGGAACTGTAATTAACTGGATGTAACACATCCATACCACCTCAGTGACACGTCAAGCTGGCATAACCTTTGGGTGCTGCAATCAAGTGTGCCAGGGAGACTCTGCTCACTATCCTGCACCCAAGGACGTATGTCCCCACAGCAGAGCATAGGGATGTCACACAATCTTTGAAAACAAACTGCGACAACTATGCATACAGCATTCATCAACAGCCTGGCTCAGTTGACTCAACTTGTATTCAAATGTGCTGGCACCGGAACATTGCGTTGCTTCCTGTGCCAAGGTGCCAAGGATGCGAATATTTCAGGACAACACAGTACTGAGCATACTTACGTGGCCATGGCATTCCGGAAGAAAATCCGAGCATAGGATTCCCCAATGACAGCCACTGTGCCTGTTGCACACAGGGGCACACGTCTGTGCAACTTCTCCATGACAGACAGCCCACCAGTTCTTGAAGATGAGCCCCAAATTTTCAACAAGGCAGAAAACCAGAGCATAAAGTGAGGACCAAGAATATGCATGCACGTTGGCTAAGCTGCCGGAAAAGGTCCTGAATAACTGGGACAATGCACACCTCCTGGCGATCCAGTTTCAAACCAAATCGAATGAGAGACCATACCTGCTGCACCCATGGCCACAGGTGCATGCTCTCGGGATGATCCGCAGCCAAAATTTTGGCCAGCAATAACTATTGGATATTCTGTCTTCATCTCACCGTCCTTAACGTACCTGCAAGGTCAGACATGTGTTTCAATGGTACATGCCACCTGTGACATGGAGTGAACCAGCCATGATCGCTGATATGTGTGCTGCAGTTCAAGAGCAGGCCCAACTGTGGCCTTTTGACCTTGATGACGTTGGAGTAGTCGCTGTGGTTGCGATTTGTACCTGGTGCAAACTGGTGAATTGGGGAGCTATTAACTGAGGGCAGCAAAATGAATTGTTCATACGCCCAACAGCCTTTCATAAACATGAGTGCGTTGATGGGCATATGGAAGGTACATCACTGTTTGCCATCTTTCCACTACTCTTCCAGCAAAGCGAAGACATGATAGCATGGAAGGGCTTGCAATGCGATTCGGTGGGCAATTCCAACTGGTGCAAACTGTTCCGAATTCCTCAGTGTGGTGTTCTAGACCAGAGTGGTGGGTCCAACACTGACAAAATGCGTCCATCTATATCAATGGACATCAAAAGAGACAGGTAGTATTTCATGGATGACGCTGGGAGCAAGCATTACCTAGCACCTGAAACTGCGCCCATAGAGCACATTCCACTTCAAGGCAATTACGGCCAGAAAGTTCACAGTTGTCTATTTTGAGCTTGTCCAAACACACTTCCCGTTCGATGCCATTCACAAAAACATATGAACAAATGCATTGTAAAATGGTCAGTTTTTGGTATACTGACGTGGCCAATTCGGCAATAGGATAAGGGCAACTACCCATCAATAGGTCACAAACACCTCTCCTGGGTGTCTGAGGGAGTAAGTAGCACGTTTTGGCTTACAGCAGTCTGTTTGACCGACCTTAACTGGCCCTACATACAGCTTGGCCTTCACGTCTGTCATCGACTGTACCTGGTGGGATATTGGGCATCTGGCAGACCAATGAGAGCATAGCTCCCAAGCTTCTCATATTCATCAGGCTGTAGCGCAACACATTGATCCACGCTAACTGTAACAGCCGCCATTACCATGGCACCACAGACTCCTCAAGAACACCAGACAACATCGGATTCATTTCGCATACAAGATAGCTGCAATGGGGTTTCCAATTGCCATTTCAAGAACTCTGGCCACATGAACATGGGGCGAATTCAACATTTGTCCTTGTTTCTTGCATCACATTTGCCCAGCATCGAATCAATCAATCGCGCTTTCCAATCATGATTTACAGGCACGCATGAGTGCCAGACACCAAGTGCATCTTATGGAGCATCAGTGTCCCACACAAGCCACCACACTACAGAACTACAAGTTGTGCACAAGGCCCCAGAAAGATTGTGCCCTTGCATTCAAGGAACTGCCACTGACGCACAGATCTGGCAGTTACACACCTTTGAGGGAACAAGCGTGAGGTATTCCGCAGGTATTATTTGATCTGTGTCGATGTTCTGCAGTTCAACAGACGACAGTCGAACTCAGATGCCATGAGACTTGCGTCGAATTGGTTCACCCAGAATTCAATCAGCAAAGTGAGGGGACCAATCAGGCGTGCAGACGTCCCCATGTCCCGCATGTGCAGAGGCAACCCAAGAGGGCTTTCACACAACTAAGCACTGGTCGGATATGGGCACAATCCTCTGGTCCAAGAGAATATGTGACTCTTTCCAGGGCAGCCTATGTTGCTGATGAGATCTCCAAGGGCCACATGGACAGCACGGGCTGAGTGCTGAGTCAACTGACATTCCTTACTATCAGCGCGGAGCAGCGCAAAGTCACCAATACAGGCTCGGCAGATCAGAGCAGCAAGTAATCTACAAGCACGACCCGTCCCGCAGCTTTCGCCACAGTCAGAATGGCACAAACAACAAGCAAAAGGAAGGGGCCAAAATGAGGGCCATAATACCCCATGTGCACAGGGGCGTCCAGTCGCGGCCTGTTTCGCCTCCCACGGGAATCTCTGGGGAGATTGGCCCGCCACGAACGAACAACGCGGCCAGCAAGCGTGATCGCGGATCGCCGCGCCGCACTCACATCCTTGGTCACGTAGCATTTGCCTCGGAGCACGGTGGCGGCCCCGTCCACCTTGCACTGCACGGGCCGCATGCTGCCCCTCCGGCTGCCGCCCGCCAGGTGACGCCCGGCGGACGGCAGGGGGGAGGCGAATCTGCCGCCCAAGGAGCAGCGCTTCATTGGCCCTGGCGCGTCGGGGGAATGGCCGCGGCAAAGGCGTTCCTTCCTGGGCGGGACCCGTCCTGTTGCGACACAAGGCGGCGAGAAAGGTTCGGCTCGCCGTCCACGGCGCCCCACAGGCGAAACTCGATGGCCAAAACACCTGTTGGCGAATTGGCCACTGTGGGACCCCTATTGCGGTGGGCTGGGGGGTGCTCAAATGGGACTCCATTTGCGAAATTCACACCGCGTGTGTTACTCTGGGGCGGCGTTACCCACTCCGAGCACCGTTACGCTGCCATTTGGGGGAGTCTTGTTTGGCGGCGGCTGCGCAGTGGAGCACAGCGACTCGCGGCGCGACCCCAGGTCCGGAGAGGTCGGCCCCCGGGCCCCCCGGAACAGGAGCCATGGGCAAGCGCCACTGCACGCGAGATCTATTCTCCAAGAGGCACAGGAAGCATGGCGTGCCCAAGCTGTCGACCTACCTGCGGACGTACAGGCTCGGCGAGCACGTCATGATCAAAGTCGATCCGTCCATTCAAAAGGTGGGGCGCCTTTGCTTTGGCGATGTGTGCAAGCAGCCGAGCATTCCCTTTGAGACACCGCACGGAGCAACTGGATGTCGATGGTGCGGCCGTGTCTGCCCTGCCTGCTCGGCGCTCACGCTGGTTGGGGGATTGTGCGTCTTGCGCCAGGGCATGCCGCACAAGTTCTACCATGGAAAGACGGGGCTTGTGTGGAACATCACGAAGCGGGCTGTCGGCGTGGAGGTCAACAAGCAGGTGGGCGTGGAGGCGATCGTCCGCTGTATGCGGATTCGTTGGATTCATGGGTGCGATCGCGCATGGACATGACTCTGCAAAGTGGTTTCCAATTTTGCGATCTTCGACAACGGGGTATGAAATACGGATATGAAACAATCCTCGGGAGGAGCAAGAGCTGCGGTGGGCCAGGTCCCTGGCAGCAGCAGGAACGCATTCCACATCGTGGTGCTCGCTTTGAACCGAGTGGTGCCGCTTTTGCCAAAGCGCCATGGCGTGGGTATGGTGCAATTGCCAATAGTAGATGGTGGAGCTCTGAGGGCGATTTTCCCTCCGAAAATGCAACCCGCTACAGACATTGGTGTGCCATCTGTGCATCACCCTGGGTTCAGTCTCCTAAGATGGTGTGTGCGATGCAGTCTAAAACTTGAGACTCGAAACATCTACAAACGCTGTCCAATCGGCATTCGTTAGCATCAGGATTGTGATCTACTTGGGTACGGCACACTTGGTTCCTGTCCAGATCATTGTATGTTGGCCTGATGCAGGTTGGCAACAGAATAATCAAGAAACGCATCCACGTCAGGATCGAGCATGTCAGGCACTCCAAGTGCCGGCAGGACTTCCTCAACAGGGTGAAGGAGAACGAGCGTCTGAAGAAGGAGGCCAAGGCGAAGGGCGGTGAGTGTGGATGGTGCAGTCGTGTTAGCAGGTCGGGCACAGTGTGCACTGTCCTTGTTGGCCAGATTGCAGGGAAGTGCAAGTGAAGAAAGCGTCAGTCCTCCGAGCTATGCCATAAAAAGCATGCATTGCCAAGTTTACGAAGAATGGTTATCTCGGGAACTGAAACTGGGTGTGCCCAGGGTAAGATTCCTGACAGCACAGTTATGGTGGGTATGATGGATGTTCTCATGTTTGCATTGGCCTTGGATATTGGCAAGGTAATCATGGCTGCCGATCACGACAAAGATGTGTATGGGATCAAAAGTTTCCCAGTTCGGATTTCCATCGAAGGCAAAGCAGCGATTGTTCTTGTGGACAGTCTATCCCAGTATGCTTGCTGATGGTTCTGTGGGAAGCTTTTGATTTTCTGCAGAAATGTTCACAGCAAAAGCACAATCCAGGTGCCAAAAGGGTGTTGTCAACAGTGCTTGGTTGGGAGCTCTTGTCGCCAAGCTTGGGGTGTGCAGAGCAAACGCAAAGGGCGAGCCATGCGCAAATTGGAGTCTTAACTTGGTTGTGCGTCCCTAGGCTTGACCTGTTGTTAGGGCCAGGCATCCTGTGCCATTTGCGGGTGGGTTGTAGGGCAAGCAGCTGAGTTTGCATTGAGAACTGCCCGCGTGCAGATGTTGAGCAGTGTCGATGCGTCTGAAGTCCTACTGACGGCATGGCGATATATGAACCTTTGCTGGACAGGCCATGCAGATAGCGGAGTGTTCACCACAGCACCCCTGCCCTTGCCTGCTTGTTGACACCACATTTTTGCTGCGCAAATTGTATATATGGCTCGTTGCTGTACAGGTATCAGCTTTGAGTCTTGTTGGCTGGCTGTGGTTCTGTTGCTGGACCAGTGCCGGTACCCAACAGAAAGGTGCTTAACTATTGTTGAATCGCATGTGTTGTTGGTGTAGAAAATATGGAATCTGATATCTGTTTTGTTGGCATCTTGTGGATTGCCAAATTCTCAGAGCTTCCTCCTGTGACTTGCGTCTGTGCAGTGCTGATCCTGTGTTGTTGTTCCCAAATGCGCAGAACCCATCCCCCATCTGAAGAGGCAGATTGCTGGGCCAAGGGAGGGGTTCACAGTCTCAGGTGGTGACGTTGTGTTGGAAACGGTGGCACCAATTCCATACGATATTGTCAAGGAGGGTGTCATCAACTGAAGGGTGAGTCATCAAGATCTGTGCAATTTTGGCATGCAGTGCGGGCTGGCATTCCCATTACACATACGGAACTCTGTTGTTTGCTTTGTTGTCCTGTGCCACACCAAATACTGCTTCCTGCCTGTCTCCCGGACAGTATCAGCTTTTCTTGGCACAGCCAAGACACTGGCTCAATCGAGCAGAGTGATGTGTTGACTGCTGGTGTGCTTTATGGAATGATCACTCGGCTTGCACTACTTTTTGGCTGAACATCTGCCACGGTATATTTGCAATCACTAGTCATGTCTGTGTTAAAAATCAACCAGCTCAGTAGTTTGTGGGAATAAGAATCACTGTTCGAACAAACAATTTTGGATGCCGACATTCTCCAACATCACCTGATGTATGCATGGGATTTGTGCTTCGCCATAGTTAGGACGCATTTCAACGTGCAGCCCTGTGCACACAGCTGATGATGGTGATGATGAGCATGGTGGGCCCCTGAGCCTTTGTTGTACCCTTAGTTATCAGTCCTATCGAGTGTCCCCTAGTTGAGTCTGCCTTTTGCCTTGCTTCATTGCAGGCTCATGCTGTGGCAAATCGTCCAACATTATGCTGCATGGGCATGACACTGGTCAAAACAACGTTTGGGGACTGTGCGCCCCAGCTTGGGCACATTCTTGGAACTGATGGTCGAGCATGTAATGTTTGCATTGCAAGTGTGTGCTGTGGGCGGCTGCATTTACTTCAAACATGCAAGCCAGCCCAAGCTGCTGTTTCTCTCTTTGCATCCTGGCATGTCCCCGTTCTGCGTGGAACCACAGTGCTGTTCGTGTGTCCTCTGCCTTGGGCGACCAGTGCCAACTGTATGCAGCCTGTCAAGCAGTTTGCTGTGTTTGTCAATGGAGATGTGTTGGGTCTGGCTTTTTAGGGATTGAAATGCTCAGAGCGAAAAGCTGGCATATTTTCTGTCCCCCATTGCTCTAGTTTCAGAACAACTGAGCGAAAGAGGAGAACACTCTGGAACATCAGAAACAACGTTGAAAGCTGCTCTTGTGTTCACTTACCACCAAAAGAGAGTCAGCAAGCTCTCTGCTACACATGAATATGTGCGGGTTGCACTTTGTTCTGTATTACATTTTATTGCCATGATAGTGTCTCACACATGATAACCTTCACGGAATTGTGTCAACAATCTGATGCCCTATTGACTCAGCAATATGTCCGGGCACGCACCAGTTGATTGACGGATAACTGAAGCCAAGAACAGCCTGCGACTCGGCCTTTTGAGGAAATCTCAATTGAGCCAGTTGGATAGGCGATGCGAGAAGCTCTTTTTGATTCACGCAAGAAGCACAGGGACATTGGTTTCAGCATAGCCGACTCACTGTGCAAAGTCACAAGAACATTGGCCCGTCAGCCAGTTTCGTTGGTTGGCAAGAATTGACGATTTTGCAACTCGGCATGTATCTTCCCTTTTGATGTTGTGGCAATCTGAGCCCCTTCGACGCAACCATCCTGGCATTGGAGATGCAACGATCCCTTCGCAAGCGGAAAGGCATTCCTATCGTGATAGCGACATTTCACATATTTACTCAGATGGGCCCACAGAGTGCATGCTATGCAACTTTATGCATATTCTCCATGTGCTGCACACAGCGACTCCTGTGCTGTATGGAAAGAGTCTCACCAAGAGTCTTGTTGAGGAGCGAGGGCGCCCCTTGTGTGTCCTCGTTTACCCCTTTGGTTCACAATGGACCATCGATGAGTTGTGGAATTATTTATCCTGTGAATGGCGATTTTGCCCTATTGGACGTTGGGCGGGTGCGTGGCTGTCTACATACGGGGATCTTTGGTATGATAGGCCAGCAGATAAGTAGCACAATATGGGCTGCAAAAGAACGAACGCCACTTTGTTGAAGACAATGGAAACAGCATTTACGGCGTTCTTTTGGCGTGATCTTCCCGTCCGCTTAACCTGCCTCCACGGCATCGGCGTACTTGAAGTTAAGCTCCATGCTGTCGCCCATGTTTCCCCGCTTTTCATTTTTCGGACGCATTTGTCTGCGTGACGCAACTCAGACCTCAACTTTGATCAGCAATCTGTGGAACGGTGACTGAAGGTGCAACTCGAAGGCGCGCATATATCAAGGTTCGACTGGCTGCAACACCTCAACTGCAATGGACATGGCACCATACCTATGAAAACCTCTGGAAAGGGACACCGTCACGATTCAGACACCAGCCACCACTCAGACGTTGCTGCTGCGAGGCGGTGATTTCCTCCACCCTACTCTACGGGGCCCGAAGTCTGAACCATTCCGTTATTTTCTATTGTTTGATTTCATGTTCCCACCAAAAAAAGTGTGGCATCGGACCCAGTTGTAGTGGAAGGAAAACACCAGGTTGAAAAAACGCGATTTGCCCATGGCGTAGAGTTGGCCTTCGACACGACCAGGCTAGCTGTCCCCCTCTACGTGCCCTGTCCGCCCTGAGCTGCTTGGCCCGGGCGAACGGGGCAGGCATGTGGTGGTTACTGCAGCGGCTACTGGCGTCCTTGATCTGCAGGAGCGGCCCCATTCCGCAGCACCTGGCCATCGTGATGGATGGCAACAGGCGGTTCGCTAAGCAGCAGGGCAGGGAAGCGGAGGAGGGGCACAAAGACGGCTTCCAAAAGGTGACGGATGCTGACTGTTGTCAATGTCGCGGCGGGCTACAGGGGCTGGGCTGATGGAGGTCGTTGGAAATTGGGGTTGGGATCAGATTCAACGGTGTCGACGGCCCCGGCGATCGTCGTTTGGCGTGCGAGCATGTATTTCTCCACTGCTGCTGCGTGTCACAGCAGGATGGTGACTGGAGAAGGCTCGAGTTGTTTGGAGGGGTCGAGGCATCCCAGCTGGATGGCGTCCGCGCGCTTTTCTGTAGCCTCCTTGTTGGCTTAGTTGCTGAAGGTTGAACGTGCGCGATGCAGCTTGTCGAAGTGCTGAGATGGTGCTTGGACCTGGGCATCCGATACGTGAGCGTGTACGCCTTCAGCACGGAAAATTTCAAGAGGTCACAACGGGAGGTCGAGGCGCTAATGCAGCTTGCAGAGATTAAGTACAAGGAAATGATCGAGGTACAAAGTGGGGATGATAAGCTACTCAGGGGCAGATTTAGATGTGCATAATCAACAGGAATGGTTCCTGCAATACAGGATTGCAATCTTCACTGGGACAATGGCATTTTTAAGCCTGTAGCAGTGATCTCCAGGGTATGAACTGTGCCACAGAGGGAAATCTGACTGGTCACAGAGCACAGAAGTATGTGCATGGAGTGCCAGAGCACTCTTGCCATTGGGAGACCTGCGATCTCCATATTGTGTGCAAAGCCTTCTAAAGATCCACAGGTTGCTTCACCACATTGTGGATCGTCTCTCAAAGAGCTCCCTTGGTGGCAAGCCAATGTTGACGATGGTTGTGCATTGATGCTGGGCAGTGACAGTTATCGTAGCCTTGGACCTGGATATCGGTGCTGGTTTTCAACTGATACGGATACAACTTCTCTTCACACTGGACCTATTTCCATCAGTGCGACAATGTGCCCGTTGCATTCTCTTCTCTTGCCTGCAATCCCAGAATTGTAATGCAAGAGTCATGGGTAGCGGCGTGTTCTGATGTCTGTTTGAGATTTGGTGCTTCTGAATGTGCAGGAAAATGGTTTTTGCCAAGACACTGGAATGGAAGTGCGGGTGTTGGGCGACATGTCAATGGCACCACCAAATCTGCAGGAAGCTGCAGCCCGAGTGATGACACACAGTGCCCAACTGAAGAACAAGCAAGGAGTGCTAAACATCTGTTTTGCATATACGTGAGTGTTGCTATGGGTGGGATCACAAAGTCCCGTCTGTTGTCTGAACTCTGGCCTGCTGTTCGCTGCTGCTGTACATTTTGGTGACTCCAAATCACAGACGATTCCTGTGCAAGGATAACGGTGCTGTGTGCTGTACCGTCTGTCAGCCTTTTTCCTTCATTGAAGTGCTTTGTAACAAACTGCTGTTAGTCTTATGTCTGCATGCATGCACGGGGATACCTGTTCTTCCAGCAGATGTACCCCATAGTGTGTTTCTGTTGGTGTTTAATTCAGGTCCAGCCATGATATGGCAGAGGCTGCTGGTGCCATGCAAGATGGTCTTTCTGATGGCTCCCTGCAGATGAACGACATCAGTGAGTGCCTGCTCGAGCGATGCCTGTGTGCAGGCGGTGACCCACCAGTGGATCTCGTTGTTCGCACATCTGGAGAGACACGTCTCAGCGATTTCCTGCTGTGGCAGAGCCGCTGTGCACACATCCATTTTTCAGAAGCTCTGTGGCCTGCGCTCTCTTTCCGCCATTTTGCGGCTGCCATACTGGAGTTTCAAAGGCACGCAGACACTCGTGAGGACCTTCGAAACGAGGCACTTGCATATACAGGTGTGGACACACTCGTGTAATGTGGTTGCAAGATGCTACCCGTCTGTGCCTGGGCCATGGAACGCCCACTGATGGCTGTGTTCATACTGCTATTGTTCAATAACTGCTCCTCACGTCCTCTTCTTAGCTTTCATTTCCTGTGCAAGCATTGCTTTTGCTGTTTGTTTGTAGTATTGTTTTCTCCTTCTTTGTCCCACGCGGCTGGTGCCTATTTTCCCAACAGGTGGAAACAGTAGTGGAAATGGAGGCCAGGTTGGCAGCAACCACGTGGGGTCATCGCGTGCGCACGAAGGATTGCTTTCTGCAGTCTTCAATGGTGCCGCAGCCAGCTGGGCCGCCTCGCTCCAGGGCTTGCTAGACATCCTTCAGGAGCATTCAGTGAAGATGATGGGAAAGGACATAATCAGGAGGTGTGAGGCGGATAGCAATGGCAATCTGCAGCAGAATGGGCACAGTGAGATTGTCAACGGCCGCTACTGGGTGAATGGCGCAGTGCGCGATGAGGTGGGGACGTTGGGCGGTATTCTTGGAAAGATGCCAGCCCCTTGCACCCCAGGCATGGGACCAGAGTCGGGAGCGAAGAATGGAGTGACGAGGAGACGCGGAAAAGGAAGAGAAAATGGTCGAAAGGCGTGCGACAAGACACCTGTTTGTCTCTCACATGTGTCGGATTCTTGCGGGCAGCGTGAACAAGGAGTAGATAGCGGTGAGGGCGCCTCGCCTGGCCTCACAGGCCGTGCGCAGGCGTTTATTGAAAGGAGAAGAGAGCAATGGTGGAAATGGGTAACAGCAAAGGGGGGCGAGGAGGTGGATCGGACGTTCAGGGAGGATGGCTGCTAGAGTTAGGTGGGCAATGAATTGGTAGTACATTATTGTAAGAGTGTGGAGAGAACAACCGGACAGGAACTGCGACTGCTCCATCCATGGCTCGACTTGTGACATTTCTTATTCTTGATTGATGGACCGACGCTGGAACGATTCGTGATCGCCGTTGTGCGCCAGCACTGATCCCTCTGAGTGCGTGTTGTCAGGTCATGCTGGTATGCTTGCACGTCCAGGGAAAGGGCTATGGCCTCTCGAATTGCGAATGGCCGGCAGACTGCCGCTGGGTATGTGACGGAAGCCGCTTTGCCAGCGACATTTGCTGCGTGGACAGTTCAACCACGATGCATCATTTGACCGACACTGAACGGCAAATGTAGGTGGCATGGTGGCTGGCTTGGCCAAGTCCACGCGTGCTCGGCATGTAATTGCGCTCACTGTTTCAGCAGATAATTGGGAAGTGGCCCTGAGAACAATCTACCACCAAAACAGAATGCGCTGATGCGGCACGATCAGTTTTCTTCAGTATTTATCGTCACACTCAGTTGTGCTTCTGTAGAGAGCGTGGACCAAGAGCATGTCTACGACCCTCCTGTGAAGAGGTCGAACAAAGTACTGGAGCCACTTCGGTCCAGGGAATGTCCAGAGAATGCCATTATGGTTTCAATGTGGTCACAGCAATGAGGCCTGTTACCTCGTTCGATATGCCAGGAGCCTTGGTCCAACGCGCTCCCTTGTTAAATTGTCACTGGACGTCCTGTGCCTGAAGGTGGAGCTATGCCCTGGCTAGTTTGCAAACCTTCGCTGCGTTCATGGGGAGTGGGTTCTATGGGACAGTGAGGTCTTGCGCCTGTGATGCTGCTAATGGCCCTCCCCAATGGTGCACGGTGCGTCAGTGTTCAATATGTGTCCGCGCTTTGCCTGACCAGGAACTCTAGTTGTGGCGATGCAGCAGGCACATGCTGCAGGTTTAATGCCATGCAGCAGGCGATCTGGATCGCCATGACAGTGATAGATGGCGCAGATGTGCAAACGCTCAGACCACACCAAATTGAATTACAACCAAGACCGTATGTTGAATGAATTATCAAAGTAGTTGCTGGCAAAGCCACCTCCCGTTCATTTGAGATCGCCTGGAGCAACCCCGGTCACAGTGCGACCGCCACACGCAACGTTCAGTTGTCAACACAGCAAAGGCCCATTGTTCACCCTCCTACATAGCTGCCATCAGTCTCGCTTATGGGCGCCACCGGCTCGCCAACAGCCAGAACTGCCAGGTTGGAACAGCCGCACGAAAAACGAACGCACGGCTCATCACGAGGCAACCACGTCCTTACCTGGTCCAGGCCAACCCATAGATACCGGTCGTTTGCACCCACGCATCCACGCCACAAAATCAAGCGCGAGAAAATACAACACCAGACGTTGCACCCCGCACTTTCCTCAGTTCGCCTGCGCCATTAGGTCTGAGGGCAGCGCCCAAGGAAACTGCAAGCAACGAAATCAGCACAGTTCAGAAAGTGCCTCTGAAATTAAATCAATTATTCAAACCACGTGGACAATTCGCTGATCCCGCTGCCATGCACCCATGGGCCGCCCCGCTCTCACTTCCGGGCCGCTGCCTGACCTCCAGCGGGGTCTCCTTTTTGGAGGTCTTTGATGGCAACCAGATAATCCATGTAGTCGAGATAGTGCTCGTAGCCCTCCTGCAGAAACTGAAGCACCACGACCGCCACGAAGAGAAGCCACGTCGCAACGACCACCCCTGCGATGATCGCCGCCGCGTGGTCCGATGTGTTGGGGTCGTTGAAAAAGAGCGCCGACAAGTACACCAGGATCGAGACGGCGTACGAGCAGGATTGCAATGAGTTCAGTCGGGGGCTCACGTAGGGGGCCCTCGCTTGATGCAGGAGCGACACAATCGTCAACATTGTGATGATGATCGTGGCCTGCAGATTGGGACCCAGGACGTCCCCGAAGACGATCACCGCGGCCATCAGTGCCTTGCGGACCATTATGGAGCTCTCCCAGAAGGCCCGCACCCCGGCGCGGAACGGAGCGTACAGGAACCCGAACATCAACGCGAACCCGGGGTCTGCAAACCTGGCCTTGTTCGCGCTCAATATCATCAATGTCATCAATGGGTACCCCACGATCACCAGCACGAAGAGGGGCGCCGCCAGGGCCGCCGTCAGTGCCATGTGCCCTCCCTCGTAACACAGCTGCCCCGTGTCTTCAGCCCAGTACTCGTCATGGGCGGTTGTGGCGTCAGTCTCGTCGCTGCTGTCGACGTCGACGCAATGCAACACCTGGAGGCATCAAACCCGGGGTCAGCAGCGTGGCGGTGCGTGAGAGCCGTCCACAGCGCCACGCCGGTCGCAACGCGGTTCGTGCCAACCGCCCCCATGACGTCTCGATTACTCAATGCCAATGCACGCTCTACAATCTTCCAATAATCATGCCAAAAATTATTGAAAATAGCCTGCAGGGTTTGCACCCAGCATCCGGGGATTACAACAAACATCTGCACGTGTGCAGCCAGCATGCAGCAGCGCAACACAGTTCGATTAAACGTGCGTGGTACCCAGCACGACGCAGCCTCGAACATTCTGGTCATCCACCCACCGATATCACGTGCTTGGCGACGGGAAAGTAGGCGAAATACATGACCGCCGCTGTGGCCAGCAAGCACAGCCTTCCCACGTAGCGCCACCCTTTCCAGAAGAAAAATACGGCGAAGAAGGCAACGAAAGCGGCGCACAGCATCAGCGGGTACAGGAGAATAATGGCGATGCGAACGATGGACCTGGGACTTGACGAGTCATCTGGCAGAGCACAATCCAAAGAGAAGCTTGTGCTGCCGGTTGTGAATCCCAGAATGAATTCTGCATCAATGCGCAGCCACGGCGTCCAGTCAGAGCACTCGATCCATCCCGAAGAACGCTCCGTACTTGAGCGTTGTGGTTTCTATGTTCGGTTTTTGTGGAGCTTCATGAGCGAGCGGAATAGAACAAACGCTGTTGGTGGCGCCCCGCCCGTCGTCGCCGTGGAGGCGCAAGGGCAGTGCGCAGCCATTGTATTTGACAGGCGGAATCAGGGGATTGGCGACAGGTGTGATGAAGGAACGATTCTCATGCTGGAAGATTACTTTGTTCATGACCAATTCGCGTGGTGGCACGGGGGCTGCCAATCCTCCCAATTCACACGAACTGCAATGCTGATGCGGCGATGATTGCACTGATACATTTTCCTCCCTTTAATTGTCGGTGTGGACCCGAGCAGTGCGCGAGGTGCATGTTCAAAGGCCGCACAGCACTTGCCGCTTGTGCCTGGCCCCTCCAGGTCATTCATCATTGCGATCCGTAAAAGGTTCCACTGGAAGTGCTGACGTAATGGCAACTTCATTGCGGGACCAAACGCAGTACGGGTCACGCCAGAAAATACTTAACATTGTCTAGCATACAATATGACAACACCATGCATTGTTCCAGATGATGTTGCAAGAGTTCCAGATGATGTTAAAGAGCCTGTCCAAACCGAGGGTACGTAGTCGCAAAGGAACAATCACGCTGGGAGCACTTGTAATGAAAGCGAACCGCACCCGTGTTGGCTGAGATCACGGTAAATGCACCGTACATGTACCAAACTCACTTTCTCGGCTGTAGACCACAGAAAGGATGCGCAGAAAGGATGCACACACAAGAGCCAGACTCGTCACTGCCAGGCTTGGTTTTTACGTTTACGTTTACGTTTTCACGTTTACGTTTTTACGGGTAAAACGTAAATTTGCAAAAGGGCCTATTTTTACGGCTATTTTTACGTTTTTACGGCTCCCTGGGACACCCAGGTTATACGATGAAAGTTTGCGTACAATGGTCAGTCATCCGCCAACTCCAGCACCCACAACACAATGTCCGCCTCGGCCTTGGCAAGGGCGATGATGGTGCTTAACAAAAATTCGTTTTCTGCCCCTTCCAGGGCGCCTAGCTGCCAATCTCCGGACTCCGTAAGTCTGTATGTACTGTCCTTATGTACACCGGACAGTTTTTACGTTGTATTTACGTATTTTTATGCATTTTTACGCGTAAAAACGTAAAAACTATTTTTACGCGTAGAACCGTAAATATGATCAGTTTTTACGGCGTAAAAACCAAGCCTGGTCACTGCAAAGGGAACACATTATTGCCTTCTTCATACCTCCCGTCTTCAGCAGACCCTCCATGGCATCTGGCCATTTGGTTTGCAGGGTTATGGCTATGCATGTGACTTGGCAGAAATTAAGAAGCATCTGCAAACAGACAAATGATTAGCACTCTGCATTCAGTGGCAGCAGATGTGTGGGCATTTGCCTCCCTGCGTGAGTGCCAAACAGCCAGCAGGAAATGCACTTCACTTCACATACCTACAATGGCATCCTAACCCATTCAATGCACGAAAAAGCACGGTTGCAACATGGGCACATATGGAGTGCTCAAGCTCAAGCCAACAGACCTATGCGTAGTAGCTAATCAAGAATTCAATTTAAATATAATCAGCACTGGAAGCATCATCTCACCTTCAACACTTCCGCGCTTCCACCCAACCTATCGAAGGACCTTGGTACCACCTCCTCAGCCTCAGCCTTTGAGGATTTGCGCATCTTAGGAGACTTAGGTGAACCTACTTCTAATGGCCCCTCATACCCCTTCGCACCACTCAGACCCGCATCTGCATCCTTCTGCTTTCCCTTGGGCAGCGCAGATGCCTTGGATGCCCCTTGCAGTCCCTTGGCCTTCATGGGGCTTGATGAGGAGCCTGCCGCTCCATCTTCTGTAGGCTGAATTTCCACTTTCCCGCCTGCACTTGCAGCCTCGCCATCTACCACTATCGTCAGAGTGCTGTCCGTAGCACCCTCATTTTCACCACCAGTGTACGACCCCATACGTTTGGCCATCGCTTCATTTGCAAGTCCAGTCGACATCTCGATGGAGTCACCAGGCAATGGCGCTCCATCGGAATCGGGCAGGTTCTCACTAGATTCCCGCTCTCCGGTGGCACACAATATGTTGTGGAAACGCAAGGGCAGGACCCCTTTGAGGATGAGTAGAACTGGGGCTTGAGGGAGATTGATGGCCACGCCCGTGTCAACTGGAACTCTGTGCCTGTGGGAATCCTCCATGATTCGGTGCATGAAGATTGCAGTAAAAGCAGCCCCCACAGCGGCAGCTATCGCAATGAATATGATTGCTTCGCTCCTTGAGCACTCATCGCACTGCACTGACACAACTTTGCCGTAGCCATCAGTGCAAGCCCCGCACAAGACGCCAAAATAACCCTGGCGGATCCAGCAAGCAAATTAGCAACATGAACTGCTGGGCGGACTTGAGACTGAAGGAGTTGCACACTCCCTGCTCCATATCTTTCAGGCAAACTGACAAAGAGTATGGCTTTCTTCCTGCGACCTGTCCGACAGCATTTGAGCCGTGCAGGCTGGTGCATTGGGCTTACGTCGGAGGTAACGAGGTGGGCCATGCATAGTCTTTGTGGCATGATTCCCTAAGTTTTGGAGCGTACCCGTCATCTGCAGTGGTGTCTTTTCTTTGGGGTGCCACATCCAGAGATGAACAAGCTTCCGAGCAGCACATGAGGTCTTCTTTTTCAGAGGACTATGGACGCTGTGGCCTGTGCTGTTGATAGGTTCGAACGTTCGCGCTTGCCGCCAGAACAGCCATCCCGCATTCCTAGAAAGGACTAAGCATTGCAACACGCCAGTCTCCGAAAAGTAACTTGTTGTTCCGCATTGTCTACGCAGCAGGGGGGGCCGATTGCATCCTTTCATGCGCATTAGCTGCTGTCAGTCAATAGTTCACCAGCATTCCACTTCATTTCAGCTCAAGCGTCAACCTGTCACATCCAACAGGCAGCAACGAAATGAAAAATCACCAAAACATGAGCATAATGCTAGTGCAGAGGCGCTGCGCAGCAGCAACGACGTCCAAGGCATGGCCAACGTGAGCGACCGTTATGTCAGTTCAAACACCCATCACCCCTCGCCATGGTTAGTTTCTGTACATCACAACAGGCAGTGCCAGCTACAGACATGAGCTCCAAATTGCAGCATTTCATAGAGGTATGGCCACTGTGCTTTTCTTCAGCTGTGCACATGTCCAACACGGGAAGCTAACTGTTAGGGAACATAGATGGACAGATTCTTACTCTGGCACACTGTGGATACTCCTCTTGGCTTCTTGTGGCATTGGACTGGGCATTGCTTGTTGGAAGTGTCAAGCCAGACTGGTGCGCCGCCCTGGCATTTGCCTGCAGCTCTGCTGATCTGTTCTCATAGGTGCAGGCTGCGTGGTGTAAGCACTCATGCATTTCAACAGACCTGGAGGTGGAGTGCCAGAAACCGTCCTTTGGTGTAATGGTCAGCCCCTCACAGTTAGCTTGGTCAGAGTTGGGGCAATCGCCGCAAACACCTTGTGCTAAGCTATACGTGTCACGTGGGCAAGGCGAGCACAGTTCACCGTCCTCACTCTTCAGCTCCCCGAGAACACAGTCACGAACGCTGACCTGCAAACAAATGACAAGGATGTTGTCAGTGAATTGTCACTGGCCAGGATTGACAAAGGATATTCTACAGAGCGAAATCACACAACGGCTCAAACATTCTTCCTAAGCAAAGTACAGATGTCCCATCATTACGCTTCCATTGATGATCGCGTCATTGTTACCAGCTGACCAACAGTTGCAGGGCACGTCAAAAACTTGAAACAGATTGATGTCCATGACAATTTCTTGCGTCCAGTACATTTCAACACAGCGAGCAGCTGCTAAGCCTGCAACCGATTTCTGCACGGGTTACAAGCACCGTGTTCCTGCAGTTGTGACGGCAATCTGCAGACAGACCCGCAGTTCCCCCACTCCAGGTTTTTAGTCCTGCTCACCTTCACTTCACCGACCAGGGCATTGCCATCTGAGAACTCGAAACCAATGCTGTACGTCCCAGGCTTCCCCCTGAACAATGTGCTCGTAAAGTTAGCACTGCCAACCTGAGCTTCTGCGACCAACTGTCCAAAAATGGTGGCTGACTCATTCCTTGAAGCTACCCTGACAACACTCCTCTCGACAACAGTGGTCACCCTCTGGCCCAACGCATCTGCCAAGAACACAGCAATGCCCTCCAAAGGTTGTCCGCTTGTGTGATTCAAGATCTCCACCGGCTCCACCAGCGTTGTGGTGGCGATTGTGGCCGCTGTGGGCCCATCTTGAGCAGAGGCGCCATTTCCCTCCCAGCCACAGAATTCAAAGCTGGTATTCAGTGTTTGGACATCGCTTTCCTGGAAGCAGGCCCCACAGCACACCTGCACAGATTTTGGGACGTCTGAAAATATCGCACCGCCTGCCTGCTGTGCATCGTTGCCTTCCAAGTTGGTGTTTTCTATAAGGATCGTGAATGAACTGGAGTCTTCAGGCCCAACCAACGCCGCTTGCTCTTCCTGAGTTCCCTCAGGAGTGGGACACATGGCTGGCGGGCTTGCTCCAGATACAGAAGCGGAGTTCAAATCAATTCCGCCTGGCACAGAAGAATCAAGGCAACATGTGTATGATGGTGCTGAAAATAGCAGGCATGCCGAAGCTTCCACATTATTTCCCCACATGATGGTGAATATTAAGGTCACACCGAAAATCCCGAATCGAACCTGTTGGTTCAGAGTCCATGCTGCTCTAAAAAGCACAAACAAAGACGCTGATACTGGACACAGGTCTGAGCAAGCTTGCAAGTACACACACCTCCTGCCATGGCCTGGTTTTCAATGACTGTAGAATCCCGCAGGAGCAACAAGAGGTCAGCAGGCGGAGTGGCCACTGCAATTTCTACACCGCCACCCCTTCCGAGAGCTTTGTTCTCTTCAAAACTGCATGATGTAGCCTCAAATACTGAGTCCGACACAAACACACCACCGCCATGGTTTGCGGTGTTTGCACGAAATGTTGTATTTGATGAGCTGAACACTGCCCCTGCAGCCAATGCCAGGCCTCCACCATTGTTCTCAGGTTGGGCTTCCTCTGGACATTCAGTCTGCAGCAACCTCCTTGTGCCTTGCGCATCAGTTTCAATCGAGTTCTCTTCAAAACTGCAATTGCTACAAACTATGCTTGCCTGGCCCACAATGCACATTCCTGCGCCACCCTGGCCACCTCTCTTCACGGTGTTTTGCCTCACCATCACATCTGTCATGTTTGCAACAGCACTCGTCGATCCACCAGCTTCATTTGTCCGAATGCACCCACCAGCACCATGCAATGCCTGATTGCGTTCAAATGTCGTGGCAGAGATAATAGCCAAGGTTCCCTGTGACATCACCAAGTTGAGGCCACCTCCTTCCACAGCACGATTCTCTGAGAAAGTTACCGACTGAATGTCCAACATTTCCAGCCTTCTGGCATCAAATGCGCCACCTTCCAATGCAGTGTTGGCCTGAAAACTTGATGTCCCATTGAGCGTACAGGACAGCCCCGGACCAAGGAGACTCACTGCACCTCCTCTGCCATTTCGCAAATCAGATTTGAACCCAGATTCGAAAGGGGCCCGGCTGCCCGCCCAGTTGCCAGAAAACTCCACACTTGAAAGCTCCAGTGTGCTTGATTCCCTGCCCTGCAATCGCCACGTGCTGTGAATAGTCCAACCAGCACAGAGCCGCAGTGACAACTGGCATTTCTCTAAGTGTCCATAGATTTTTCCCTCTGTGCACTGAACTTCCTTCATCAGCCTGAGAGATTTGCAGGTGCCATTCCACCATACAAATGGCAACATCGCTGAACAGTACGATCCGACATAGACACGTTTTCCACAGCACCAAGCACAATATGCAAGCTGCCATCCCCTGCATCTGACATACCCAACGTACTTTGTATAAACTCTTGTCTGCAAAAGCTAGCCACTTGCCGATTTGCCCAGATGCAGCAGGCAGAGGAATTTAGGAATTCGGTGAACAAATGTCCAGAGAATGCAAGATCCGCTGTGGTGGAACCCTGGTCTTTCAAAGTTTATGTGTGCCGTGCAAACTTGCCTGATACAATAATGCACCTCCGCCTCGTGAGCCATTGTTGTTTGTGAAAATACAACGGGTAATGGTGACATCTGAAATACCATCCAGGTGTACCGCACCCCCAAAACCACTAGCACTGTTTCCCTCAAGAATGCAGTCCTCAAGAGTGGCAGCCAACCCCCTCCCAGTAAGTGAGAGGCCGCCTCCATGTGCTTCAGCCTCATCGCCCGTTACAATGTTGTTCATAATACTCACTCCAGAGGCCTGAAATGTCCTTGATTCTGCTCGTGCCTACACAGCAGCATTTGATCACACGACATCAACCTCATGTCAAACGTCACACCATCATAGCATTTCTTGTGTGCCCGCCTTTGAACACAGAAATTGTGGGCAGGGCACATACCGGCTGGCACTGCAGTTTTTTGTTTGTGGTAGAGGCTCTGCGCATGACCAATCCATATCATGGACTTGGTTTTTCGCATACAGGTCTATAGTGACGTAGACACATGCCAAAGGCAATGAGTCAAAGGCAGAAGCCATTTTGATCTTTGCACAAGATTTGTTTCCTTTGACAGTTCCACTGTGGCCTTCGATGCTGACGCTCTATGCTATTGGAAGCGTGAATGTGGCCAGGGAAGCGATACAATGTGCTGTGCGAAGGTGCGTCAGATTCCTTAGGATCCACACCAGTCAGCATTAATTTCTGATGCCCCATGTTACCTCAAAAAGAATGGCGCCCCCAGCAGAATCCCTAGCAGCATTCAAGCTGAATTCTGCATCTTCAACAAGCATCGTTTCGCCGCCCACCATGCCTACAGCACCACCCCCACCACTTTCAGCCGTGTTGTTGGTGAAATTGCAGCCTCCCGTGAGCAGCAAGTTCAATGCCTTGCCCTCACCAAACAACCCGCCGCCTCTGCCAGCAAAATTGTTGTGGACACTCACGTTGGAGAAGGCAGCAACAAAGCTACCTGCCACAGCCTACAGCAGCACATGTGTGCATCAACAGAGGGGTTGGGTACACAGTAGTCCAGCAAGGCAGCAGTGTGCAAAACTGGCGGATGATTGCCTTTTTGTACAGCGTTTGCAAGTCGCATTGTCCAACAGCTGACCCTTACCTTCAAAAAAGCTGCACCACCATTGTTGGCAGCCCTGTTTCTCGTGAACACGGCTCCACTGGCTTGTAAGGACTGTGCATCAGACGCAAACAGCCCTCCTCCCCTCTGTGATGCCACATTTTCTTCAAGCTCAACGTCAGACCCAAAGGCGCAGTGCTGCATAGAGCCAGACACTCCAATGCCTGCACCTGTGGTCGCATTATTTCGAATGAACTTGGCTCTTGAGATTGACAGGTTGGACGCAGCTGCGCTTGCCTGTAGCCCCAGCAGTTGTTGTGTCAGATACACAGACCACCAGACCACGGTTTTGAAATAACTAGAAACGGATACAGTTTGCGCCTTTGCTCGTACGCAGATGAGTAGATCCAAAGGCAGGTTGCAACGGTCACACTCCAGGTGCCAAAATCGACCCACTCTGCTCCAACCATCAATGAGTTATACCTGCACTACTGCACACAGAATCCAGTACCCCCAACATTCTTTATGCATGGGCTCCGACAGGGTTAGTATAGCTTCCCTCGTGACTCAGAACTGAGCAGCCAAAAGGGCACTATCATGTGTCAATGCCTGCCCAATTGGGGGAAAGCAAAGCTTCAAAGACAGCAAATGAAACCTGCACATCTGCAGCATCTGCAGTGCATACTTTAGCCGACACTGCTCCCCCCATTCCAGATGCTGCATTGGTCACAAACATGGCTCCACTGATGCTGGCAACTTGTGTCTCTTCAATCGCGACAGCACCGCCATCGGTGGTGGCATTGTTGCTGATGAACGTCACATTTCTTGTTAGCTCAAAAACCAAGCTGGGGCCATCTACGAGCGCAGCACCTCCCGAGTTTCCCTTATTGAATGAAAACTCCCCATCTGCAATTGTGAGGGTGCTGTTCTCCCCTGGCCCCTGCACAAACAGACATCAACTGATGTGTGTAAGGATCCGCAACACCACTGAGGCCGTCAGCCGCTTTTGAGCTCGGTGGGAGCTGCAACACACAGCAACCTTGGCACACGTGTTGCCAGGACATCCTCCTTGCGATAACAGATGTTCCAGGCGTCAGCAAAGGATTACTTGCAACGTGGCTGTCTGCTGCAACACACGTTCATTGCCAAACAAATGTTCATCAGGTGCAGATGAATGGCACAAAGCGACAAGAAAAGAACCTACAACCCATGAAGTCACCACCAACGTGTCAAATGTACATGATAGAAGTGCTCCAAGTCACTGCAATCCCCTTGCCTCATGCACATGCACTCACAGAAGTCATGAGAACAGCGCCAGCCCCTTCGTCCGCTGAATTTCTGAAGAAGCCCACCAATGACAGATTTGCAGAAATAGGCCCATGAAGAGCCATACCGCCAGTGCGAAAGGCAGAATTATCAGAAAATGTTGCCTGGGTGATAGCCAAAGCATGCCTACCAGTGGACGCCTGAACCAAAAAGGGGCAAGTCAGGCAATCAATCGCATACAGCATCTTGCTCTCTTTTGGCTGTGGCTGCTATGGACAAAGATGCCAATTCCATGTGAGACAGGGTCCCAGTGCAAAGTGCAAGAAGCAGCAAACGATGAGGCCCATGCTGGGCTGAGCACCACGTGGTTGCCCAGGGACACTGAACCCTGCATGGGTGACTTTTGGCTGCATTGATGCTATCCCACCTGACAAATCTTTCCACAGAGTATGTTGCATTCAGCGATAGGTGCGCTGCAGCATCCATTTTGCATCTTGAGCCTTCTAGTGGTCAAATTTTGCACAAAGACCGTTGTTTCTAGCCGCTCATCAGCAACCTTTGCCAATGTAGCATGTATCACTGAGTAAACATCTACACATACCTGCATGAACACAGCTGCCCCTTCATTCACAGCGCTGTTGTTCTCGAACTGTGCATCATTCATGGCAATGGTAGTGACGTTGTCAGCATATATCCCGGCACCATCATTTGCCTGGTTTTGCACGAACTTCACATTTTCTATGTCACACTCAACTCCTTCACCAGCCACCATAATGGCCCCGCCAAGAGATGTGGTCACTGCAGCACTGCTCTCTGTCACATTGTTCTGTATGAATTCAGTGTCTGACACAACCAATCTCGAAACACTGGAGTTCACAACCTGCAAGTCACAACAGAACTGCCGTCTTCAGGTACCAGGCAACTGGATGCCGCTGAGGCCACAATACCTTCTTGGAACACTGCCTTGCCTGAGGCATTGCATCAAGCGACACGTTTGCCATGCAAGAAGCTTCATTTGGCCATGTGTGCGTGTGCTGTGGACTGAAGAATGCAGCAGTAAACATGACGCAAACTGACGACTCCGGCAGGCGGTTTGCGAGAACACTGATGTATCTTATTGGGATTCTTGGTTGTGGGTATGGTGCCCGGCAGTTCAGTTACTTGTATGCCTTTGTTCCAGTGGTGCTCAACCATGGTGAATGGGGAGCTGCAGTTTAGGTCACAGCCCACGAAAACATGAACTGCGAGCAGCGAATGAATTGTACCAGCCACCTTGTTCACCACCAGAACATCACCAGAACAATACTGGACAATCCAGCGACTTGCTCAAATAGGTTTGTGGCTTGAGGTAGTCTTGAATGTGCTAAATGCAGGCATCAACAAGTTGATGATGCCCAGACAGACAAGCACGCTATAAAAAGATCTGCTCTGCTTCTGTCCCTTACTGTTGGATGGTTTAGGTAGATGGCTCCTCCAAAACCCATTGCTGTGTTTCGTTTGAAGTCTGCATTGGCAATGCTGCAGAGAACACTGCCTCCCTCCAGCAATTTGAGAGATATGGCTCCGCCATCAGCGATGGCATCTGCAGTGTCGTCGTTGCGATCACCCAGAGCAGTATTGAAGTCAAAGCTTGAGCCACTAACGTTGAGGATGCTGTCACTGGTTCTGGCCTGGTGAGAGAGGTGGGCAAACCACAGATCAATACTCATAAATGCATGCTGGTTTTTGTTGTATATGGTGGTAAAGGGCAGCCAGCAAGTTGTGGAGGGATGCCATGGAATATTCAAATCAGGCATCACTGTGGTGCCTTCCAAATACCAAAATACCTCCACAAAATCACGTTGGCAGTACTTGGTTCACATCTACAAACTCAGAAACGCTGCACTGGCAATTACACAGCAGTGCTGCAACCCCGAAATGTGGACAATATGCCAGTGATCCTGGCCGGTGAACAAGATTACACTTTGCAGGGCTGCAACAAGTCTCACATTGCACCAGCAGATACAGTGGTATTATACAAGGTTCCATGCTGGCTGACCAATGCTCACTGCACATGGATGAAATTGATTACTCTTGGCTGGATACATCCAGACTGGGTTGCTTGCAGCTAGGTGGCAAGCACTGTGCACCCCACCCTCTGATCTCACAAACAGATATCTCTGGTTCACTAATTGTCATAAGAATTGCATGCATTTGAAAGCAAATGGCCATTCCACATTTTCCACACAGTGAACACCACGACTTGCGAGGCTGGTGCAAGAGCATTGAAACAATGAGGCAGCTGAAGCGAAAACGGAAAATGGCCCAGAATACTCACATTGATATACATTGCTCCACCATCTGCCCCAACATTATTGACAAAATTGGCAACCTCAATTGAGACCTGACACCTGTCCTCACAAGACACAGCCCCTCCATCGCCCGCTGCCCTGTTGAAGGTGAAATTTGTGGCAGAGACCTTAAGGAGCGCATCTCCCCCAAGGATGGCAACAGCACCTCCATTGGCGTTGAGTATCCCATCACTGTCAGGGCCAGCGGTGTTGTTGGCAACTGTGCATTGCTTTAGGGTAACCACCGCTGCACCTTGGTCAGACCTGGAAGATGCCTTCCAAATAGGAAAGCACACAGCACATTCAGGCCCCACTGTCATCAGAAGCATGTTCACATGTGAGCCAAGAAGAGGATCCAAAAGTCAGAGCATTGGATATGTGGAGGGCACAGGAAGCAAGAGCCAACTGATGCACTGCAAAATGTCTCTGGCAGGTACATTGCTGTGTGATGCAAGGGTATGTGTATAAGGCAGCAATTCTTGATGGTTGCTTTGGCAAGGCACAAGCTGTGTCTAGCTACCACCCTCAGAAAGACCTGCTAAAGACCTGCTACATATACAACAACAGCATGGCACGACACTATCATGTTCCAAGCAAACACAACATTCTCACACTTATTGGAAAATATTGAGGTGGGAATGTGCAAGCTGTAGTCCAGCTCTACCTGCACGTGCACTGCCCCACCACCTTGTTCAGCTGAGTTGCCTTCAAAACTGCACGAATCTGCAATCAACCTGCCATCCTCTGTGATGCCCACTGCTCCTCCCACAGTGACCCGTGTATTGTTGACAAACCTGCTGCCCCTAGATTCAAGGACAGCTTGGTCCTTGACACTAACTGCACCACCAGAATTGTTTACAAGTGTAGAATCTTTCAGCAGCACTTGGCACGAATCTGACAGTTGTACGGCCCCATCGTCAGCTTCATGCCTGCACCCCCTGACCTCCAGGTCGTCCAGATTAATCGTTCCAGGGGCGCATTCGTCAACTTTTAGCACGGCGCTGTTTGGATCACTGACTGCACAGCCTTCAAACAGCAGGCCAACAATTTTGGTCCCAACAGCCCTGCAGCACCAAAGGCGGGGACTGAAGAAACTGTTACAAAAATGAATGACCAACAAAGCAGGAAGCCAGTGGCAGCAAATTATGGTTGCTACTGCAAGACATTGTCACCATCACTCAGAAAGTAGCCCTGCTAGTTCAGCAAAAGTTCCTGACCATGGAAATCATCCTTGAATTGCACCAAGGCAATGCTTGAAGCCACCGATTTGCATGCAGCGACAACAGTGTTGTCTAGAATCCAGGCACACATCAACCAGAATGCATCCTGCACATGAACAATCAGTTGTGATGCTCACCTAATGTTAAGCACAGTTCTCCCATCCGCAGGACAACCTATTTGCACCTGTCCTCCCTCCGTGCGTGGCCTTATGAGGAGGGGCTTGTCAATTAGGAGGGTCTCCTCCAGATCGACTTTGGGCACATCAAGAACGAGGTGTACAGACTGAGTTGCAGCACAATCCACCAGCAAGGTGAAATTGATGCTGGCAAGCAAGTCAGTCGTGACAATGAGTTCATTGTCTCTCTGATCTATCAGCGCAAGACAGTCGATTTCCTCTTGACCTGGATACGTACCAACAATGAAAGCGTTGGAATACTGATGCGCTGTGATGAAGATGCCATTTCTTTCTTCCCAATTACAGAAACCTCAACAACCAGGGAACAAGCGCAGTCTTGGCATGCAGCAACTCTCTAATGTCAGCAAGGGTTAGAAATCAGCACTGCTTCCTCATAGGAACCTCTCCACAAAAACAAAAAAGGACGCGTTCTTGTGAGTTCCACAAGCACGGGGATCCTGGCATCCCCTAACAAATGCGCAGTTGTTTGGGCGCAGTTGTTTGCCATATTGTGGCGAAAACAGACATTCCAATCGCGGATTGGCACAAGCTAGTCAGAAGTCGCAGCATTGGGCTGGAGGCTGTGCATTCAAACAATTGAGACATTGAAAACAGCATTAGCAACCCTAAATGGAATGTTGCTCTACAGCACAAAACGAGCAACAACGAATCTGCAAAAACCAAAGCAAGAGAACGTTTATGGTGAAATAGCTCACATTGGTGTGTGTCAACTACCGCACTGATTGCCGTCGCACCACTTGCAGATTGGTTCATCGTAAGACTGCATTTGCCTTCTGCCGTCCAGAAAGATCGGTGCACAACTCATATGTTTGGCATTTTTTGCGTCTTTTTAACTGAGTTGTACTCTTCTCAAATTTGCTTAAATGCAAATTGCCTATCACTGGTGGTTGGTGCCAGTCAACACAGAATGGCACGGCGAATTCAGACTCTACTCCACAACAACCTTGCAACAATATTGACAACAGCACGTCAATACGGGCCCCACCCTTTGAAACGGCATACAATTACTGGCGGCACCAAATCGGTGACTTTCTGCACCAAATCGGTGAATGCTTGCACCAAATCCCTCCTAAACTAACCTAACCTAACCCTAAACCCTAAAAACCTAAAACTGAACCTACCCTAACCCTAAACATAACCCTAAACCTAAACCCCGAAACTGAGGTGAGGACCTAGCGTGCGCGTGACTTAGTGAGAGCAGCCAACGATTTGGTGCAGGCAGTAACATTATTTGCCAGTTCCAGTACAATCCGAGCCCCGTCACCACGCCCGATCGGAGTCGGGTCGCACTGTACACCGACGGCGTAATTCGCTTCAGATAATGTTTCCCGCTGGGCCCCAGCGGCCCCGGTCGCTGGCTGGGCGACAGCCCGACGCGCATATCCGAATCGAACTCCCACGACTCGAGGCCAGGGGGACGCCCGCGCTTCGCCCGCCATCCCCCTCCCGTCACAAGGATCGCATCGCCAAACACGACCGTTGAGGGGCTTTGAGCGCAGCATCGGCGCAGGTGGAACTTGGTGGGGTATTTGGGGCAACCTCACCTGTCACGCGGCACGCCAGCAGGACGGCGCAGAACAGACAGGCGTGCACGGCACAGGCGCTCCTAACCCAACTCGCCATGCTAGCGGTCGGCAATCTGGACCGGGGATGAGCCGATCTAAAGCCGCGGGGACAGTCAGCACATCCCGCGAAATTGTCGGCGGTCGATGGAAACCTCAAGTGGCTCTTGGGAGCGCCTGTGGGGAGGGTGGCTTTCGAAGAAATGCGACGGCATTTTGTGAAGCGCCGGTGGCGGGTGGCGGGGCGCCGCTCCTCCCCTGCGGCTGCGCTTCGGTGCAAGGGGGCCAGCGGGATAGGTCAAGGACATGGGCTGCGACATCAGTTTGTCAAAATGCGGGTGCGGGAAGACGAACCCGTGACTACACATCGGCGGAGTTGCTGCAACCCGTCTGCAACGAACCTTTTCTGAACTTCGATTACCAAAAGACTGGCATGAAGAAAGATCGAATGTGCACAAAACTGGAATCCAGTAGTGCTCTGAACACCTGGCTGAATGCCGCAAGTTAGTGTAGTCCACCCTGCAGCTTCAGCAAAGACCTTGCAGCAGTAATACAAGATCCGGACATCTGGTGGGTTACTATCTGGACGACCAAAGTGCATGCCATGGGATTGAATCGAAATACGTGTTGAAGGGACGTCCGGAATTACTTAGCCCTTGCAATCACTCGGTCTTGGCTCAGATGCCAGGCACTGCTGGCTACCGATCCTGAAGGGTAAGGGCGAGGCTTGCACAGAATACTCATTCGCGACGTTGGTCTCTATCGGCCCTCGATTCAGTGGCAGTCTGCGCGTTGAAAAAATCGACGCCACGGCATTGGGCACCCCTCACTATCCTTCCAATCCGCAGGCCGCAAGGAGTCAAGGCGGGCAGTACCAACTTCGCTGTGCATAGATGGAGATCCGCCGTGGAACGCATACCTCCCCTGGCCTCCCAGGGATGCCCAAGAGCCATGGCGGATGCACCAGACGTGCCATTCGACCATCCGCGATATGCCAAGCTCGCAGAAACGGTCGGCTCCTGCAGCATCCAGCCACCGGACACCTCTCTCGGCTGTCCACAATGCTAGTTTGAAGTCCCACTGCGCAGCGAAGCTGCATTAAGTACTACAGAAATGGTGACAAGCCAAAAAGGGGCGCTATTGGGGGCCGGGGGCGCTGTTGGGGGGCGCTATGTGGGGACCCCTATTGTACAGCAGTCCTACTTACCCGTCCTTCCTGGATGTTTTGACCCCGCCCTCTCCCTCTCTGAGTTGTTGTCTTCTCTCGTCTGGTCTTGTCGAGAGCGGTTTGCCGCTCCGCTCCGGCTGCCTTTGGAGGCGAGCTGTTGGCTGGCGCCTGTCCGCGCAGCAACACCTAACGTGGGATCGCGCCCACTGCAGAGGCTTCCCGCAACTGCCCCATCTGCATTGCCAGGCACCCACGGCTTGTGCTTCTCTCCCGAGTCGTCCGCCGTCCGTCAAGTGGGACCACAACAATGCCTTGGTGATCACAACTGGCGGCGCCACCTTCCAAGGGAGCTTGACACTGCATTCTGCTTTCGCGTGGCGGCTGCATCCGTTGTGGATGTGCGCTGCAGGGTAGCGCCGTTGCTCGAAACGGTAAGCGCCCGAGAGCACTTGCCTTGTCTGCGGGTGGTGATGCTGCGCATTGTGCTTCTGGTGCACGCACTCCCTTGTGTCAGCAACGGGACTGTGTCCCGGCAGATTTGGGGTGCTACCATCGATTCACTACTCACAACTCGCATACGTGTAAAGCACACATCTCTTTTAGCACGTGAGGCAATATCGCGGGCTCTGACGGCCCGTGTGCTGAAGTTCACCTCGTGCCAGATGTAAGATGGCAACACCCTAACAGTGCCTACTCATGTCAGTGCAAACTGGCTCCCCGGTGTTGCATGGGATTGATGCGAATCCCAAGGTACAAGTTAGTCTTTGATTCCCCCTGTTCCGCTGCTTTTGTGTTGCTCACCCAGGAGCGTCCTGCTGGTGTGACAACTGGCGGACAGCTACAGTGCACTTTCAGTAGTTTGATTTTGTCTACTTGCGCATATTTCCCTTGGTAGGTTTTAATGCATGGCTCATGGTTTGGGTAGTGTTGCTGCCCTGTTGCAGAGAACAGCTGGTGCAGTGTATTTTGCCACGTGACTCATTTGTCACCTAGCCTCAACTGAAGACGCACAGTAGACAGGAAAAGAATGTGTTCGCCACCTAATCAACACTCTTGACAGCAGAGCACTCAAGTCGCCGCTCTGGCTTCATGCATGGCGCTGTGCTGGAATACAGTACTGCGGTGTCACTGGAGAAATGCCTGGTTGCAAGAACAACATCGCCGGCAGGCAATGGCAGCTGGTTGTTCTTCAGAACTGTTGTACACTTTATGCTCAGTTGATTGTGTGGGCAACAGCGAGCGCACTAAATAGTGGTTGAGTTCATGCTGGCCATGCACTCACTACCTTGAAGCCAATTAGGAGCACCAGGGCTATTTGGGTGGTGCAGCAGGCTGCTTGGTGAGCTGAACAGTGTTCGGAGAAGCCAACAAGGCCATGTATGAGGTTGCAAGGAGGTGTGCCATGACGCCAGAAACTTACTGGCTGTGCTTCTACAACGCATCTTGTTCATTGGCCAGATAATCCACTGTCCAAGTATATTTTGTAGCAGCTGAACACAGCAGGCTTCATTATTGCTCCTTTGTCAGCTTACGCAACAGCGATGCTTTCCTTGTAGGGGCACAATGCCAGGGAGCTACTTACTTGTCGGGAAGAAGTTTTTACAAGGACTGAGGACGGGCAATATCAAGCATTACAGGGGGACAGAGCCAGCGGATGGTGACACACTTCAGGATGAGGATTATGTTCTGGCCTGGAAAGTCTTCTCACCAGCTCTCTCAGCCATCACCACAGACAAAGAGTATGCAGATTGGGCTGACGACTTGTTGGACACACTGCTGAACTCAGAGGTGGGTGCATTGGGCACTTAAGGGCAGTGAATGAATGTTGCGCTGCAATGATGTCCTATTTGCCATTTGATGTCCTATTTGCCATTTCAGTTTGCAGAGACTGAGAATTGACCGTCTGGGCTAAGGAACTGTTGAGGGGACATAGGTTGAGGACACAGTTTGGTTTATTGTTGTTGACGCTATGAGAATTGCAGTAACACCATCAGCCAGACGTGCAATACTCTGAGTGCCGTGGTTGCATGCCATGGAACTTTTGTATTCGTTTAAGTTGGTCATTCTGAGCAACAGATGGAAACTCAAATGCATGTGTGAGCTTGACAACTGACATGCCATCCATGTGTTGCAAAGATGATGTGCAAGGAAGCTGATGCACAAAGCTTTGTGGTTCTGGTACATATTCTGCATCTTATGTGGCTTTCACTGAAGACATTCATAAGATACCTGCATAGCCATTGCAGCTTTGCAATGTTGGTTTTCCTCAAGACTTGAACACAGATGGATGCTTGCGCGATCCACATGATGAGTGTGGTGACAGTACCCAGATAACAATTGATATAAGATGCAATGGTGTTTGTGTTGCAGGCATTGCCACAAGAGGAAAGGCACAAATGGCTGGCCAGAGCCGGAAATTGTTCTGAGGTGGTCACACACGATGACGCCCATGATGCAGAGGTAACTATTCGCCTACTGCAATGTACTTTTGATGGATTGCTGGCAGCTGATTTTGACGGTTTCTTGCTTGCTGCTTGCCCAGTTGCCAACATCAGCTCAGCTGTTGGAGAACCAAGGACCATCGAACACCGTCAGCCATGGCCACTTGGGTGGAGCCGAAGTGCATGGGGGCCAAAACTCAACTGGACAGGTAGGACTGCACTGGTGTTCATTTGCTGCACGCACTTTTGGATTCCATTTGATTCCCTTACACTAACAAGCCACTCCTGCTTGTCATCTGTCCTGTACTAGCTGTTGGCCAGAGCACATAGCAACATCGCTGAACGGCTTGGATAAAGTGTATGGAGTCAAGAGAGGCAGGCATAGCAGGTGGAACGATTCACTGCTGCGAGTGCCTGCCCAGGTATCACAGGGACATCCTAGCCGTGAATAATCCTCCCTCCATGAGCAGAGTAACACGAGTATGCACAAAACAAGAAGCAGCATTGTTGATTCCCAACGCGATTCGTCACCTTGTTCCCTGCAGGAAGGAGTTTTGGGTGAGGCCTCAGCCTCAGGAAGTGGTGCCCCAGCAAGACCTGGTGCTATTCCGACAGCATCCCATGGCCGCAGTGAACAAAGAGGCCGTGCTGTCACTGGTCATAGAATTTTTACGCATGTACAAGACCACCTGCCCTCGAGAGGGACGACCCAACATGGAAGGCGAGTTGAGCAGGTAACACACGTGCATGAGCGATGTTTTCGTTGCAATACTCGCTTGCAGGCTGCACCAAGGATTGCCAGAATTGTGATGGGGATTGTCAGTTGGCCCAGATTCACAGATCGCGAATGCAGCATTGAGTTCATGTGTTTCTTGATGGGTAACAGAATTTGGTCTTGGGTTGAAAGTGCGGCAGTGAGTGACATGTGTTGTGTTCTCAGTAGCGCATTGCATTTATCAGGGTATTTTTTGGCAATTCGGATGCAATTTAGGCGTCTTTCCGGCTTGAGCTCAAGCTGGCACAAGCCAGGCCCTTTGTCTCTACAGTTGTAGATTGTTGCCTACACTGCACAAGTTCAGACATGCCGCAGTCGATCCATGGCCTCGAAGAGATTACAAAGATCAAGAGTGCAAAATGCAGTGAATATCTGCTGCCAACAGAGCCATTTGTTGGGTGTGCTGCTAGGGTACAGAACAGCAGGATGCTGGTGGCACAAATCGTTTCAAGCACCACACTCCGCCCCCTGCCCAACTTACAGTACATGCTGATGCAAGGGACCCAGCAGCTGGTCGTTCATCACATATAGGAAGGAAGCGCCACCACTCCTGCTCCACGAGACACCATCCATTGCATGCTGATGCGAGGCGCCCAGCAGGTGGCCCTTTAATACCTATGGGTAAGAAGATAAGGGGCCCAACATTCACTGGTGAGAGGTGCCAGCCACCTCACACTGCTGCACCTCCCAGCAGGAGTCAGGTGTGTGCTGTTGTGCAAGTGGATGTGCACTGTGCATTCTCTGGATAAGACTGTAGAAGTAAATGGTTCAAAGGTTTGGCACCCATTTGCTTGTCTGCAGTTATTTTTGCAAAGGTTTGCAGGTTCCAAAATAGATTCTGGGCCACATTTTCGAAAAGAATCAGGAGTGAAACACAAAGTTACCTTGAGAGGTTAATGATGTTCCAACTGTGTTTGCAATGCCAACCTGCTGCAGCCTTAACCTTTCTATTGATGCCTCTCTGATTCGGATTTGCCTCCATGACCAAGCAACAGCGGACTGCGTATCTTTGCCAGGGGTCTGTTGGCTTCCTTTGCCTGTCACATTTGTTGCATGCTGAAGGCAATATTTCGCTTTGTCTTTATGCAATCAGGTTCTTTAAAACGGCATTCCAGTTTCCAGGGTGCTGTTGTGTCATCCACTAAAACTGGAGTCTGCTTTGTTCCAGCTACGCTTCATCATTTTTGCCAACCTTAGCATCTCCAATTCATATTTCACAGTCTCGTTTACTTTCTCTTCTTAATGTCTCATTCACCTCCTTGTTGGCAGGATTGAAAATATCAACTGTCATAATGGGGATTGAACTTCTGCCGAATATTTGCTTGAGTTGTCAAGGAAGATCTGTTTGCTGAGCTGCCCTTCACAAGTTGTCAGTTTGCACACAGTACACATTGTTGCCTAGCCTGTGTGGTTTGTGGTCAACTATGTGCTTGCAGCCAGCGAGTATTGGTATGAGAATAATGCTTTGAAATAGGGATAAGTTAGGGATTTGCTGTGGTCAGACAAAAACAGTGCTGTCAGCATTCATAGGTCGTCATCGCACATCTGATTTTGGTGGACCTGGTGGAGATTGAAGCGGTGTGTTTCACTGTTGAAGATTGAAAAAGGCTGTCCACTGTCTGCAGCCATTCCAGTTAATCGTCCTAAACCTGTCAAATTTCGCTTTCAACGTTGCTGCCCAGCAAATGTGTAGTCTTTGCTTTACTGAAAGGTGGCTCGACGTGACGAGATCCCTTCCAGTGGTGGATGCAAGACCCATAACAGGGCAGATGTGCAACGTCAAGATTCCATTTCTGCGCAGCGAGTGCAATCGGCGAACCCGGAGGGTGTGCAGAGGCCAGCTGTCCAAGTGGCAACCACCAGGTGTGGCACATGGTGGTGAAGTTCCCATTGCTGCTTTCAGATTGGACGTCCACTTAGTGCTGCAAGCTCGTTGCGGAAAGCCGCAAGCTGTTTATTCACCTGTCCACCCAAACCAAAACTCAAGTTAGCAAGGGGTTCAGAGCTTCAGCATATAGCCTATAGCGTTAATTCACAGGCATCAGATTACATGGAGTGTCCACAATGCAGTATGCTATGTCTCCCCGCCATCTTACTGGATCTCCTAATGCGTCCTCAACTTCAAACCTCGTGGAACTTCGAATCGTGACGGGGGCCAGGAATGTCCAACTGAATGTTTGTGTTGGATACGGACCCAGGCTTCCTCAAACACACTTGACAACATTTTGGAGACAGAATTCCGGGACACAATTGGGGAGCTGCCAAATGTGCCGCTCATCGTCTTGGCAAGTGCAAGATGCTCCATCAATATCGAGCAATCGAATCCAGGCTCTATTATGTGCACATACACAACTTGCCCCCAAAGTACAGTCCCAAGGAATGTCCTTGCAGCTGTGGTCCCTGCTGCCCATTTCCACAGAGAGTGGGCACTTCTGCAACAGAAGGGCATCTCAATTTGAGACCTTCCATTTGATTAACTTTGAAGAATAGAATCTTGCAGTGTCTTCGGACAGTACCTGCACACAGTCTGTTCTGTCAGATTGCATTCAGCCAGCATCCTTGATGTATGTTGTAGGATTGTTGAGCGTCCCACTTGGCCAATCCCAAGGTCGGGAGGACCCCTAAGACCTCCTGTTGAGGACAGGGGGGAGCTGAAAGCGCAAAGGATGGCTGCACTTGCAACCATTCGGCAACACCCCGATTCACACCAAGTGATTTCGACACTCAAGCGCGCAAGAGAGCCGTTTGACCTGCAGCAAATAAAGTTCAATGGAGGAAGTCTATGCCAGGAGATTCAAAATCTTTTTTTGGGGAGCAACAGGCGAACAAGATCGTCAGTATGGAAGTGCACAGTGTGCAGCAATGTCTTCATTGATTCATATAGTGGATGGAGGCACATATGCAGTGGAGCAGCAGCTGGTGTGTGTGGTGGAATGGGGTGGTATGGGATGGCAGATGCCCCAATGACTGCACAATTTGTGCCTGTGGGGCTTCCGTGCAGCTGTTCCCACTTATAACAGGATCTGCTGGTCTTAGCAGATGTTGGCACCTCTCTGCGTCTCCTTGCACATTGAGTAGCTACAGAGTTGCTTCGTATTTCTTTAGTGGTTCGGTTGCCATTTTCCCAGCAAGTTTTAGTTCTTGAACTGCAGTGCAGCGTGTTGGTCTTCGATTGATTTTGCAAGTGCTTTTATTGTGGGAAGGTGCATGTGGGCTCTGTTGTGCTCTGTCACTTTTGATCTGAAGCTTGGATGACTCATGTTTGCTTGGGGTGGCAGGGACGTTCGGTGGACGGTGAACAAGGAGGGCACGGTGACAAGATTCCAAATCCTGAATCAGTTGCAGGCCAACAAAGATACAGGCACATGGCTTGGCCAGTGGCTCTCATGGACTGTGCAAGTCTCAAGAGCTCTTGAATCATGGGACTGCATCGGAAGGTGCCGACGGAAGCTTTGTGCTGCTGGCACAGCTACAAGAGCAGGTGTGATTCAGGACATGCTCAATAGCTTGTCTTTTTGTTAATGTTGTGATTCGACAAAACAGGTCCTGCTGGAGACAAGCAAGGACTGGCCGTGAGCACAGCTGTATTCATGAAGCACCCATCCCTGTACCGCTAAAACTGATATCCAGGGCTGCAGATTGTCAGATCGGGAATCTGTGTAGTGGATTTTTGTTGCCCAATCACAACGGAGGCAGGATGCAGGCAGAGATTGGAACAAACAGGTGCAGATGATTGCAATTGGGTTTCCCGAAATACCATTTAGGTGCTGGCCTAATGTAGTTGCGGTATACGGTAGGGGTCCCTACATAGCGCCCCCCGTGACATGGCCACAAGGGGGGCGCTATTGGGGGCTAGGGACGCTATATAGGGACCCCTACTGTATTCTCTTTGGGGTGCTCCTGCCCTGCAAAGCTACTATCTCAAATTATGATCCAGCAAGGTCGCCCGATGCTGGAAATGAGCAAGAGTTTGGTAGAGTCTCTATTGATTGACGGAAGATGGACCCAAACTAGCAGCTGAACTGATGCACATGTCATGGAAGAGCCAAAAGAAAGAGGCAGAGCTCGGGGCCCACAGATGCTTTGTGGGGTTGGGAATTTGAGTCCAGAACTGTAGTGCCAATGGAAAGCTGTTCAGGTTTGAGTGCGCAGTTTTGGCGTATGCGGCAGCTGGAACACGCTGGATTTTGCACGGAGAATGGTCGCCAAAGAATGTCAAGTCCATCAATCCTGTGCATGCCAGAGAGGCAACAGGCAGGATACCCATGCGAGGGCTGTAAGGAGCGTGAAAAGACGATCGTGGTGTTCTCTAGAAGAACTACAAGCCTTGGGCGAATGTAACCTTGGGACCGTTTGAATGCGTTGGGCGTAGGTACAGAACGGTTGTGAACGTGTGTAATACCTTTGGGTGACCACACGTGGTTGATGCCCTTCGATATGATCGAACGCATTGCATGTAGTTCGGATGATGGTGCCACCAAATGGTGATTATTTACGTTTCGGCAATTTCGGAAAGCTATACAGCTTAACATTATTCGGCAATGTAATCGCCAGCGACCAAAAATGCCGAAGGAACATGGTTCCCTGGATGCGCAACAGTTGCATTTCAACGAGATTGCTGCACGAGAACTCCATTTGATAATCCCACTAAAACCCAAACAGAGGTTGATATGCAAAACAAATGCTGTGCAGCCCCGCCAGTGTTCCGCACAGAAACTCATTCTTGATTTCAGAAATGAGCAGTCCTGTCAGTACAAATGATGATTTATCCAAATGGGCGGCTGCTGCATGCCGCTGGTGCTGACGTCAAAACCCCTGTATTATTTCCGCTCAGATAATTTAAAGCCTTCACAACTCAGTAGTTGTACCGACTGCAGACAGAACTTTGCCGGTGGCCCTGGGATGCTGACTGAGCGCGGGCGACAGTACGTTCCTCACACTGAACAACTGGACCTCATGTCTGTTGTGGAGAAGCAAAATCCTTGGAATTGTGTTTCTGGAGAAGGCAATAAACGTTGTACCCATGCATGCATGCATGTGAGACCTGGTAGCTTCTTATTATGCCCTGCCTTTCTCTTGTGCAAATTCAGCGACGTTCGAACACTGCATCCATCGGCGGTCGGTTGTATAGTCAGCACTCCAATGCGCCTGCACTTCGCAGCAGCCCATCGCTCGTACATGATGACAAACGCGTGCACCGCTGCGAGGGACGCGTTCACTTGGCGCTACTTCACACATAGTGTCACGATGCTCTGTCGCACAATGGTCGCAACAAATCCACACGGCTACGCGTTTCGCGAATGGGTATCACTATATGTTCAATCTCCAGTGGGGATTGTTTTGCAGTCCGATGCCAGCAGAAGTGAAACAACCAGTGCAGCGTGATTTCCCCACACCACAGGCGGCGATCCTCTGTAACAAATATAGCAGAAAATATCTTCGGGTGGTGCAATGACATGTGCTGATGATTGTAAAAGCGGGTAGGTGGTATTGTGGGGAATGCAACTGGTTTGTTGCGGCTGCTTCTTGGTCAATACTTTGTGATTTGTTGCCACCGATGGTTCATGACTTGCCACTGCACGGTTGTTGAAGATTCCCGGCCGCCGAGTGATGACCCAAGCAGCCACGTGGCGGCGTTCACCTCCCGATGCTGTGCCCGGCGGTGCCAACGAGCACCCTCGCATGCAAGGATGCATGCACTGCATGATTTGCTTGTCTGCCATGCAAGCAAATCGCGGCTGGTCCTCAACCCGGCCAACGTCGGCAAAAGACGCGTCGGCGCGTCGGCCGTCGGCACGTCAGAGGGGATCGGCCGACGTCGGCGTCGAAAGCTGCCGGCGGGGGTAGTCACGGAGGGACGGGGTGGGAAGGGGAGGGGGGAGGGAGTGGGCCGGGCAAGTGCCCATAAGGACTTGGCAAGTGTCGGCAAAGTCGGCAGCCGATCGGTGACCTGGGCACAGGGCCGGTGAAGGGGAGAATGGCCGTCGGCGCCATCAGGACTGCAGCGCCGCCGCCAATCTGCGGACGATGCCCATGCGATGGTCCCCATCCCCCCACTCCCTCTGCTCTCCCTGCCCCTATTTTTGAGCCCACACCGTTTGGCAGGAAGAGGGGTGGGCGCGGGGGGGCGCGACATGGTCGGTCGGCAACGTCGGCACCGCCGGCACGCCAACGCCTGGACCAATCTCGCCGACGATGCCGACGGACGCAAGGGCAGACACGGCCAACGTTTCGGCCAGGCAGCTGACGCGCCGACACCAGTCGGCCAAGCTGCAGGCCCTTGGGAGCAATCCCCTCACACCCAGCAGTACTGCACACTTGTTCATCCGCAGTACACTTGACGATTAAAAACGGCAAACCGCGCAGAACACGCCACAGATCCTCATCACATGAACACAAAAAGTTTGCGGTACGTTTGTGTGCCGAGGCCCGTTGCCGCTTCGAGTGGCCAAACGTACTGCGGAAGGACAAGCACGCAAGGTTGCATCTTTGCGCTTGCGCAGTACATTCCGCAGTACAAAACGGCAGCGCCTGCCACTGGCGTTACAGATCCTGAAGACATGAATGCGAACCTGTGTGGTACGTTGGCATCCCAGCAGCGGGAACATGGACGCAATTCGCCAGATTGCCGAAACGGGAATGGAAACGTGGGCACATGTTCCACTAACATTCGGGCTCGAGCGCAATGTGAGGCGTGCTTGCGTTTCCGCCCACAGCCGCATGCACCCCTGGCTTACAAGCCTGGTTTGGATCCTGATGCGTTCACATCCCTCCTTCCGCCGTGCAAGCTCCAAAGTAGTGCTTATGAAGACCGTGCTCGGTGGCGAGGTGGACAAACAGAAAAGGAGACGACACACCCATCCGTTTTTCTTCTCTTTTCCACTGTTGCATGCAGTGTCGGCTTACTCAGGCCGTCCCGTGTGGTTTCAGACCGAGTGCCCTTTGCAAAGCCGTCCACCAGCGGTCCGCTTCACTGTCAGCGCTGGTTATCGTGAGGCTCCACCACAACGACAGTCCGCCACCCGGCTGGTGGAGTTCGGAGGTCGCTACCGCGGGGCCGCACCTCCCTCGCTTCACGCGTGCTTCGCGTACCACAGCATCGTCTCAACCCATCAACGCAGTTTGACAGAATTTTTCATGCGAACAAGGGGCGCACCGGAGGGCCCGCACCGCTGTACCGGGGCGCGGGCCCGCGCCCCGCTGTACTACGTTGTAGTATTTCTTGGACTGACTCGGCCGCACTAGCGGCCCTCTGGCCAATCCCGGCGCTCCTTTCCCCTGAACCTTGACTAAGCGTCCCGGCCGGCGTCACTTCCGCGGGGCCCATGTTTTACGTTGTGCCCCACGACCGCTGCCAACGGTCCGTGGCTGTCCCTGTCTTGGGGTGGTGGCCTGGGCGCAGGGCGGAGGGCGTGCTGCCACCCAAGGAACCTCCGGGACAGGGAAGCGCCCGCTCCGGGCACTCCAGAAAAGGAAATCGGGTCTTGTGCGCCGCAGGCGGCGTGTGAGGAGGGATGGCGGGGGCCAACGACCCTTCCCTGACGGAGACGCCGGAGTACCGGATCGTCATCATTTTTGTGGCCTTCATCCTGGTGACCTACCTGTTCGAGAAGGGCATGGAGTGGATCGACGAGTACCTGAAGCACCACAAGCGGCGCGGCCTGCTGCACACGATCCACAAGCTGGAGGAGGAGCTGCTGGCCCTGGGCCTCATCTCCCTCATGCTCATCGCCGTCGAGGTGGGTGCGCTGCGGGAACATCGGCGCAGCACGCGGGGTCGCAGGCGCTTCAGGACACAGGGGAGGGCAAATCTGCCTGGGCTGTTTCGTCTTTGGCCGTTGTGCAGCGTGGCGCTTGGGCTCGCAGTCACTGTACCTCGTTTCGCGAATCTGGGATGGGGCAATTTCTTCGGCCCCGGGAAGGCTGGCCGACGATCGGACTGAAGAAGGGTGCGGCGGGGAGCGCTTTGATGGGCGCTGCGCGCGGTGCTGTGGGGAGAGCTGGAAATTTCGGCGTCCGCGTGCAACGTAGCCCCAGATGCGGGACATGCTGTACGTGCAAGCGACGGGAGCCGGTGCGTGAGGTACAGCGCCCCTCGTGCGCCGTAACTGCTTTCGACGGGCATCTGTGCAAGGGCCGGGAAGGCGCTCGGCGTTCGTGGCGCTGGTGGCTTGGGTTAGCTTGGCCGAGGAAAGGGCCATTTGCAATGGGTGAAATGGGGCACTCAGGTAGCGCCTTTGGGCATCAGCGGCGGCAGGAGGGGAGCGGAGGGGCGCAGGGAAGGATGGTTTCGCGATGAAGGAGTTTTCGAACAGCTCGGGCTGTCGATGGTCCCCAGTGACTGTGTCTTGGCGTGTGTTTGCCGACCAGACTTGCTAGGCTGTGTCCCTGCGCGACGGTTGTGCCCAGCAACACAACGACGCAATGGGCCCCGGGGGTGCGTCGTATGTTTTGACAGGGTACAGGGGGGCAGCCTTTCACAGTTCAGCAAGGCCTTCGGGAGTTGGACGGTCCTGCTGTGCATAACGGAACATCGGAAGTGCCGCGCATCTCGCGTGAAGTTCATCCATCACGGTTGTGCCGTCGCGAACGCAGCCATCCGTGCTGCGCTGCTGCTTGGCTTCAAAGCGGCAAGTGGCTGAAGGCTTGCTGTCCAGCGCGTTCGCACGGTTCTTTGGCCAGGAGCGTGGCGGCGATGCGCAACTGAAGATACGGCAACAGGCGGTACTGTTTTCCATCGCTTTGTGAAACGTTGCCGATGGCGTCCAGAATCCGGCGCGGTGTCTCGGACGCGTGCTCAGGAGCTTCGGGGTTGAAGTCGAGAGAACGCGTCCCCGAGATGGCTTCAACCGGACCCAATGGCGATGCTCTGCACACTCCTCGGGTTTTGCGCGTTCGCTGCGTGGCTTGTGCTGCCTTGACTCGCGACTGTGCCGAGGCAGGACTACCTCGTCGAAATCTGCGTGGATGGCACGAACGCCAAGGGCGCCAAGAAGGCGAAACTGGCCGGCGACAAGGCAAAGCTGGCCGGCGACGACAAGAAGAAGGCCGCCGACGCCAAGAAGGCCGCCAGCAAGGCGGCGACCCCCGTCCAAGAGGACATCCTCGATGACTACCATGACGAAGCCATGGCTGACGCAATGCAGGCTGAGCTCGACGGTGCCGAAACTGAAGACGCCCCCGCGGTGCCCGTTGCTGCCGCTGACGACGTGGGCGTGGCGACCGACGCCTCTCTCCTGTCCGACGACTTTGGCAACAGGAGGCTCCTGGGGGGCGTTGTGAGGACGCTGCTCGCCTCGGCGGGGGGCGACGGCCCTTGCCCGGTCGGTCAGGAGTCGTTCTGGTCCATCCGCGCCATCCACGAGACGCACATCTTCATCTTTGTGCTCGCCGTCGTCCACATCATCTATGCCGGCGTGTCGATGGTGCTCTGCGCCTGGAAGGTGGGCGTGCTCCTGTTGGTTCAGGCTCGTTTTGCTGCCGCGTTCAGGGCTGCCCCTGATATTGGACTTGGAATCCGTTGGGAGCTTGAGTTGGCTGTGGGCGAGCTGTCTTGCACAAATGCATGCAGTGCAGCACTTTCGCACGTCCAGATGCAAGGGCCCGGAAGAGGCCGCAACATCATTGGAAGCTAACACACTAGAGGCTAGTGCTTCCGGCGGCAAGAACGTCCTTGTCTGCGGGGCGCGATAAGCTTGCTGCCTTCCGGTTCTGCCTTTCTGTTGGTTTCTTACGGTGCAATCTCTGTCTGGTAGGTCGGCCAGTGGAAGAGGTGGGAGAGAAATGCTCACACTGGACTGAGGAAGATTGACTACAGGCATCTCCTGGACGAGTCAAACGTTTGCCTGCACTGGGGCCGGTCCTTCTTCGCCCAGTTCCATCAGCACATCGACGAGTCTGTGTACCTCGGCCTGCGTCGCCTGTTCATCGAGCGTATGCAGGTGGACAACAGTTTCGACTTCCACAAGTTCCTTGTGAACTCTATGGAGGAAGAATTCTCCAAGGTGGTGAGCCTTGACTGGGCTATGTGGGCGGTGGCCGCCATCTGGATCTGGACCACTCCGATTGTCGTGTACGTCATGTTCGTTGGGGCTGTCGTCTTGACGTTCCTGGCCGGCACAAAACTGGAGTCCATAGCCCTGAAGCTTGGCAACGAGGCATATACCATGTATGCAGACAAGGCACCGCCGGGCCACCACAAGCACCACAACCCCATCATGAGGAACCTTCAGAAGATATCCATGACTGTCTCCAAGGCGCTGCACTCCCACTCCCACCACCATCACCACCGCAACCACGATGAGCAGGATACGGTCCATGGGCATTCTCGTGGGCATCACTCCCGTGGTCATTCGCATGGCCCCTCACAGAGGGACAGCGCATACAACCCTGAGATGCGCCATCAGAAGAGCGGGCCAGTGGGAGAAGGCTATGAGGAGTACCCCTCAGATGGCCGTCAGTCCAGGGAGTCGATGGCCTCAAAGGATGGCTCCCTTGCGATGTCCCTGCCAGAGTCTGACAATGAGATTTCGTATGCAGCATCTGTCTCCTCGAGCATTGCGCACAGTGATGCGGCGCTCTTGTGGCGGCAGTCTAACAACAATGCCAACCACTATTCTGACCAGCTGAGCCAGACATCTGTGGACCCTGTCAGAGCACCGACAGCCAAGCACCAGAGGATGGGCTCTCGCCTGTACTCCAACATTGCCACTCCACGCACCAGCCGCGAACATCATCCTGAGCCAGAAATAGAGGCACCCGCATTGCATTGCTGCTGCATGCAGTGTTTTGGGGGAAAGAAGAAGGAAGACCATTCGCTTGATGCATTCGCCGATGAGTGAGTAGTTGGCCTATATTGTGGCTATTGAATGCTGTCTCATACCATGGGAAGGAAAACTGCCCACAATTGCTGTCACCTGCTGATTGTATCATCTCACCCTCTCCTGTGGTCAGGAAAATGGAGCTTCTGTGGCAAAGCTTTAACTGATATGATGGATATGCATTGCTGTTTGTGCTGCCTCCAGTTGTAAGATGCTGTGCAAAGATGCTTGCAATCTGTTCTAATCGTTGTATTCGCATTGTACAGGTACATGGTTCCCGACTCGATCGGCTTGTTTCCTTTCAAGCGACCACGCCTGATGCTTCAAGTCTTCCAGCACACCTACTTCCTGAACTCACTACTGATGGCCATCTTGCTGTTCAACCTCTGGCAAGAAGTTGACCCACACCTCATCCTCACCTCAGACTGGATCTCTTTGACACTGGTGATAGTTGGCATCGTGGTGATGTTCATCACCTCCATCCTTCTGTTGCCTGTCTACGGACTGACAATGGTGACCGGATCTCACTGCCCCAGCAAAGTGCTGAAGAGGGCAAAGAAGCACCACATCAATCCGCACGCAGTCCAGTAAGTGCTGCACACCCGGCTTGGCTCATGTCATACCATTGTCTTCCCTCCACAACATAGGGTGTCCACAATAGGTGTTCTTGTGCTGTCCTTCCCAAGGGTCAGGAAGGCTGCTTGGAAAACAATCCTGCAGAATGCTGATATTATACACTGTGGCTGATAGCTGCCTGTCACTCTGTCACTTCGACAACCCAGTGCCGTGTCTTCATAGTGCTGCCTTTTAATAATTGTCTCTTTGTGGCTGCATTTTTCGATCTGTTTTGCCTGCCAGCACAACACAGCTGCCCAGCTGCACTTTTGTGTTCGCTGGGTGGGCAGCGCTGCAGGTGGCCTGAGCTCTCAACTCTGTTGGTTTGGTCTTTCACAGCACCTTGGAGAGGATGTCGATGGCTGCCAAGTCCATGAACCTTTCCAAGACATCGATGGCCTTGGGAAGAACCTCTATGGGTGTGAAAGGTGCTGGGGCATCTTCAGATACCGATGACAATGGGTCTGTGATTGGTGCTGGAGCAGCAATGCCAACTCACTGGTCTGATATGTCCGGCATGCAAACTGAGGTAAGCCAGCAGGGTAGAATCCTAGATTGTGCATCAATGTCAGTTGTTTGAGTGTTTCCCACAGGAAAGTGTGCCTATGTTGTCCTCTGTAGGTGCATTGACAGGATGTAGGGAAGGAGTGCACAAGACGAGCCCACATCGCAGCTTGTACTACTACGCAAACACAATCAACTGGATATTCAGTCACAATTGTACTTATCATGTCCTCGATTAAGCGTGATGGATCTGTGCTGGGATCCGTGCAGAGCTTCAGACTCAGTCGCTTTGGGGCCACATGTACAAAGTGTTTTCCCAGCTGCAGGTGGTTGCACAGGGCACTGGTAGATGACTGACTGGAACCCCTGCTTCCCTCAGGCTGTGCGCGACCTTGCAAAGGAGGTTGTTCATCACCAACAGCCAGAAGAGCCAGAAGAGGAGGATGAGCACAAAGCTGGTGGTGCGCTCAGCATGCTGGTGGGGGCCATGTTGAAGACCAAGACGCAGGAAGGTGACAACACGCTTGAGAGAACTTCCTCAGGAGGGCACCACGCTTCTGTGGAAATGACCACGCCCTCCGGACAGCCAACGCTCTTGCGGAAGTCGCGCACGCTGTTGAGCAGGGTCTCCATTCCTCTGATTGATCTGCCCGACATCAAGGAGGTGGCTTCTCCAAAGGCTGCAGAACAAGACAATGACGAAGGATCACAGCACTCCGGTGCCCCGTCGCTGATGAGGAGGTCGCGGTCACTGCTCAGCAGGCTGTCGATGTCGTCAAAGAAGTCGGTGAAGTATGAGGACGAGCACGAGACCAGCGATGCAGGGGAGGTGGAGGCCCCCAAGAAGCGCCGCACCAGGGTCACATTTGAGGAGCCCAAGCCCGCCCCAGAGAACCATTCCAGCGGTGGCGAAGCGCCGGAGGTGAAGGGCATTCTGAGGAGGACCAAGTCCGTGAACCCAAAGCTGCTGCAGGAGTCCTCTGGGCCCTCACTCGGCCGCATGTCGGTGGGGGCACCCAGCATGGCCCCAAGCGCACCCTCTCTCAAGAGGGCGTCCATGCCGTTCTTGAAGGTGGTTGAAAAGAAGCAGCAGGCGTACCTTGAGAAGTCCAGGGCGGATGCGGACCACCTGATGCACGAGGGTTCCGAGGTGCAGAGCCCCAAGCCCGCTGACACCAGTGCCGCTCCTGAGGCGAGCCAGGCTAACTCGGACAACTCCAGCGATGACACCTGCGAGGGTGGGAGCGTGCGGAGACCGAATTCGCACGCCAAGGACCCACATCCCACAATGGACCAGGTCGCAGAGCTCTTCAAGCTTGGTGAGAAGCAGAAGTTGCAGAAAGAGTAGAGACCAGAACGGCAGCTTGTGTTGTTCTGTCCATCTGCGCCGTGCCAAATAATGCGCAGAAGGGAGGATCAGACGAAGCTCTGCAGGCAATGTGGGGAAGCTATGTGGTGGAATAAAATGCGAGTTTCGTTGTCTGCCTCCGACCGTTCCATGCACCAGTGCGTGGAAAAGAAGCCATGAGCCGGGGCAGGCAGGCTCTGTTGTTCATGTTGATAAAGCAACCAGTTATCTGATGGTTGCGGGGTTGGCAGTTTGTCGCTTGCTGACAGCCTTATCCCCTGCAAGTTGTTGGTTGCCACCGGCTATTGTTCTTGACCGGTCTCGGCATAATTCTGCCCAGTGTACATGAGAGCGGTGGCACCAACCAGGACGATGCGTATGTTGAAATACGGCAGTTAATAGTTGAATAAGGTGGAAGGAGGCAAGGATTGCTGGGTTTTGGAGGCGGTGGTTAATTATGCAATGTTTTATGCGAACGTTCAATTCACATTGGAGTGATTCACGTTGGGTGAAGTCATTTGCAGCAGGGGCGAGTGGCGATGCGCCGGGAATAAGTGGGACGTCTGCGGTGCTTATGGTACGTACTGGCGCATAATTATATGCAACGACGGGTGTGGATCCGTGTGTTGCCTCACTGTGGGCGGTTTTCAGTTTGATATACCGTCCCCAGGCTGGCATCAAATTTATGTGGGTTTTGTGGAAATGCAGCTGCCTTGGGGCACAGTGTGAACACTGGCAATGGCTCATTGGCTGGGTGTGATCTGTTTTCGGGTGAGACCCCTCGATGTGCCTCGAGATCATAGGCAATGGGCGCAATGTGCTCGGCGCAAAGTCACCAATATTTTCGTGAGCATTGGTGTGGAGCGATAACTTTGCCCGGGGTCACCATATTTTCGCGCATGTTGTTGTGGAGTGAGAAAGCTTGTATTGGTGAAGTTGTAAAGGTCGGGCAAGCGATTCCATGACATGCCCTGGGTCTGGCTGATGGCTCCTTTCGACTTCCAGCGCCCCAGGCAAGGTAGAAAGCAGAGGTGTTCGCTCAGCAGCAAATGCAGAACAGGTTGACATTGGCGCGGGTGACCCATGCTGGTGGGAACCGCCCGTTGTCAGAACACATTTCTGGCTGCTGATGCCGCGACCGTTTTGTTGAAGCCACCAAGGACAATGAGGCACGTTGATCTCGGTTGGTTTTTTCATAATAATTGAATTTGCCAAAAAACCTGTTGCGTAGGATGGCCCGACCACGCCACCATGACAGTCGTACAATGGTAATAGCCTGATTGTTGATGGGGGCTTGCCATATTCCATAATTATAGGCAGGTGCTCGCTCAATGTGGTTCGAGTGGCGTGTATGACACCAGCAAGCCAGACATCCCACTCCACAAGAAGTGCAATGCATGGGCTGACCGTAGCCACCGACACGAACACACTCGAATGTCGGTCCCCGGAATGCCGATGATGGCACAGCATACGCTTCATGAGTTATGTACCCTAAGGCACCGCAGCCCGAGTGTGTATCAACGGGACAGGATATATCACTACTTTTTTGCCACAGCGGAATTGTTCTTTCTGCGGCAGTGTTGCTCGTCACTGCAATAACGCTGTCCATTTCGTGACAATGCCCGAATTGCTCTTTTGCGACAGTGGCCTGTTGTTCTTTTTTGCGGCAGTCGCCATCACTAGAGTGTGACCCGGGAAGCTGCCATTACTGAAGTGTGACTCGGGAAGCCGCCATTGCTAAAGTGTGACCCGGGAAGCCAGACATCTCCAGTCGTGGGCGAAGGGTGCCGCAGACGCCGAGAAGGCATGCAACGGATTGCGGGCAGCGGCGATGTGGCCCTCCCCATTGTGGGGAGGGTCGCCCATATGCTGATGATGCGCATTGCATTGTATGTGCCCCTGTGGCCCCTGCCAGAAACGTGGCGCATTCAAAACCACGAGTGCCCCCGCCTGTGCGCCGGGAGTCGTGGGCTCCTGCGATCCCCTCGTGCTCTGCCAGCCGTAGAACGAAGGCAGGGCAGGCTGCCTGGAGCAGCCAAAGGTGCCCCTCGCCCTTCAACACACTTTGCCAGCCTGGCACATCATGGGGGCCCTTCCCCCCAACAACATGACATGGACACAAGCTTGCAGGGCCAAGCATGCCATGTGTACGAAAGAGCTGCCATCTCCTCTTAAGACACTCCCATCCCGCGCCGTCCCTCCTTCTGTGCAGCTTGCTGCCCTTGCGGGGCCCGTTTCACTCGTTGGCGTGCCCCAGGGGGTGGCGAAGCGGCGACCCGCGGGTCACACATTAGTCAGGGCTACTTTCGCAAAGGGGAACAACCAAGCCACTATCGCAAACATGAACAGTTCAGGAATTGTCATTGAAATGAACAACGTTGTGGCAATAATGAGCGACACTGTCGCACAAAAGAACAATTTCACTGTCGCAAAAATAAATGGTGACTGGTTTAGCTGCCCATCACTCGCGGTTCAACCACATGTCCAAGCACAAACGGACTATGGGCCTTGACACTCAGGAGCGTACAATTCGATGGTGCCCGGGTTGCCAATTACTGTTTACGTTAAGGCTTTATGTTACATTGAAATTTTGTATGGTTGTGACAATTGCATAAACTCGCGGCCCGTGTGGTCCAGAAATCAGTGGATAGGCCGCAACAATCAACCATTAATCGCAAAGGACACATTGTTCAACGAAACAACTGGGAGGAGGCCATGTCAGTGTGCCCATTCGATGCAAAGGGCAGCATACCAATGTGCCTATCCTATACACTATTCTGACATGGCAACATATCACAGTTGGCCAAGCTGTGCACTATTGAGACACGTAATTTAGTGAGGGCGACATGCCGACCTGCCAGTCTGAGCAGACTCCTGAAGGTGCAAGACAACATGTTGGGGGGATCCACTTGGATGAATCAAAGCTATGGTTATGAACACATAAGGTTGGCAACATGAGACCATGGAGGCGAATTACGCCATGGCAGACGGGTTTGCATCATTGAGGACCTGGACATCGCTGGACTCCAAAAAGGACAGTTTCCGCCGGACCGGGCTCCTTGTCCCGCCCCGGTCCACACACACACTGGACCAATACATTACAAGACCGTTTGTTTGTCCCAATACAACCCGAGGTACCCACAACTTGTGTGCCCAATCGCTTCGCTAGTAGTTAAGCCAGTCCCATACAAGACTCAACCCTTGAGTCCAACCCACCACTCCTCGTCTCGACGTACTTAACTCCCACACTTACCCATTACCAACCGAACATCACCCTAATAGGGAGGGCCGGGCGGGAAGCGAAACAAGATAAGGTGGGGACCGAGCGGTGAGCCTAAGTAGCCTCCCCGCTCGCGCCCGCCAAAGACCGCCACTCCCAAGGGCGCCAAAAACCACTGGCCCTCCTTGAATGCGACGAACTGGCCACTTACCTAAGGTACAAGGGGACAGAAACCCCAAGGGGCCGCCAAAACCAACGTACTTAAGCAGAGCTGGCTCAAGTGGGGCCAGCGCGCCCGCCCCTCGTCCCCCTGGGCGGAAACCTATTAACAAGATAGTTAATTCCATTTCCACCGGACCGGGCTCCTTGTCCCGCCCCGGTCCACACACACACTGAACCAATATATTACAAGACCGTTTGTTTGTCCCAATACAACCCGAGGTACCCACAACTTGTGTGCCCAGTCACCCTCGGACACACGAAGCTCCTCCGGAGCAGAAGATGCGGCCATATTTGTCATGCAAGTCACGGGCGGTAATCGTCATCCACCCAAAGAGGCGATAGTCCCACTCCGATGGGATGTGATACACATCGATGTACCACCACATGGCAGCGCTGCGCCAGTCGCCCCATTGGCGGATGCACTGCTCGGGCACCTCCAAGGCGAAACAGGCCAACGCCCCACCCACGCGCAAGCCATGGTGATCCAAAGCGCCGGGGTGCAGATCCGACGAGGAGGCCAGGAGGTCCCGAAACCAAGAAGAAACTGTGCGGGCGGACGGGTCGCGCTCGCCCGGGAGAGTGAAGAAATGCGTAGGCGTCCCACCCGCGTCCACCTAGGCGCGATCCCAAAAGGCGCCCTATCGAAGGAGGAGGTCGACAATCTCGGGGGCGCCTTGCGACGGCCAGGAACGTAGGCGGATGGCCAGGTCCGTGTCCGGCTTGAGCTTGGTCCTGCATTCCCGGAAGATCACAACACCGTCCGCCACCTGCACATCATCCAGCATAATGAAATGGCTGCTCTGGGCCCAGTTGAAGAAAACGAAGTCCAGAAGGGCGGAGGTAGACGCCCGCAGCATCAGTAGATCGTCTGTCCATAGGCCGAGCTCCAGGACACGGTGCATCAAAGACGCCGGCACCGGAGCGTGGGATGAGGCCGGCTCCGGGCATTGGCGACCCCAAGACCGGGTGAGCAAGCGGGTCACCCGGTCGAATGCAGAAAATTGGACGTGGCCCGCAACATGGTGCACCATGGAAATGGCGGCCAGGTATAGGGGAAGGCTGCGGACGCCTACCCGGCCTTCCTCCCGCAAGAACCGAATATAGCGGTAGATTGTAGACGAGCGGGCGGGAAGTGCCTGGAGGGCGGCGAAGGCGTAGAAGGCCTGGAACTTGGCAAACTTGGCCTGCATCGAACGCCGCGTCGACTCTGTGTAGAAAGACAAAAACTCGGACTGCATCCACGCACAGTCCGATTGAAGAAGACCATCCACATCCAGCCCATAGAGGGGGTGATCCGTCAGCATCGGCTCCACCGGCAGCGGGTCATCCGGGGGGAGGTCGACCTCCCCGGCGGGGGTCTGAGCACCCGCACTTAAGGAGCCGTCCGAGGGCGGATGTGAAACGCCCGGAGGTTCCACTTCGGCGGAGGAAGCACCGCCGGAAGACTCGGATCCCCGAGGCGAAACATGCCCGGATGGCGGGGAATCAGAGACTCCTCCGCCGCAAGAGTCCGGAGCGGCAGGAACCAAAGCGCACTTGGCCAATCCGGCATGATGAC